ATTGTTTTCAAGAGGATAGGACATGATCTCGAGGAGCTAGGAGGTGCGCACGGAGGGAGGCCGAATGTTACATTCGGCCCGGGTTATATAGATAGTTGCTGCGAAGTCGAAGAGGGCGCGCTGGGGAAGAGGGCAGAACGATCGACTCACCGCGAATGAATCGTCAAAGGCCTCACCACCCAGCGCCCAGCCTTCCGACGGCATTCCAATCGCGTCTGCGGTCGCGCGCGCTCTCGAGCGATTCCCAATAGTGCAGCTAAGGAAAGAGAGCGACGTAATCAAGAAGGATTCGCGCGGCTTACTTGCAAACGGCCCTCCCATACTCCCAGCGTGCGGCCGCGGTCAAATGCGATCCAAGGACGATATGCGTGCACAGACGAACGGTGAGGTGCACATAGGCATGCGCGCGGCCGATGCCATCGAGCGACGAGTCAGTGCGAGCAGTGAAGAGGTTGCGAGCGACGTGCGCAGGGCAGCACGTGTCGGTGAATGCCGAGGACGTTGTTCGAGCGCGCGCCGGAGTGCATGAGGATAGTGTGCACGAGCGGGATGGTCAACGGAGCCGAGGTCGCCGATTCGTTGCCAGCATGATGGGAGTGGACATGACGTCTTAGAGGACGGCCTCGACGACGCCGGCAGCGAAGGAGGAGCAGCTGAGCTGGCTCATGTCGTGTGGAACGGAGATGTTGCGGGTGATGGGTGGGTCATTGTTGATGATCATGTCTGCGTGGAGGCGTGAGTACATATAAAAAGAAGAGACAGGAGGACGGACATTCGTCAGCGTTCTCGACGCTCTTTTCGATGGCGTCGGCGGGCTTGCCAAAGACGGCGCACCAGAACTGGGTGTGGATGGACATGAGGGCGGGGAGGAAGCGGATCTCGCGCTTGGGGGCCTTGGAGCCGGACTCGTTGCGCCAGGACATGAGTTCCAGGACGCACACGCCAATGCGGTAGCCGAGAGTATTAAGTCTGCGCAATCAGCAACAGTGCAACGAAGAAAGAGGGCACGCAACTCACCACCGCTCGAGATCATTGATGTCGCTGACGCACTTCTGGGTGTACTGGATGACCTCGGAGAAGAGAAAGGCAAATGCGCTCGCGCTGACCTGGGCCTGGCGGGACTTGTTGAGCGGGCGGTCGTAGATGGAGGCGCGGGGTGTGGCGGGCTTGGGAGTACCGGCGGCGGTGTTGAGCGAGGGCGCGGATGGGAGGGAGAAGCGGGCGGAGGAGGCGGGGGAGAGGCGCTCGGCAGAAGAGAGGGACGAGGAGGAGAGCACGGAGAAGCGGGGGTGTGGTTGAGCGTAGGACATGGCGAGCTGAACGAGCGTGGTGGCGACGATGAGCGTGGGCGCTACGTTAGCCGGAGCGTGGGCCGCGATTACAAATTGGGAAATGTGCTCGGCGACGTGCGCGGTGGCGGCAACGGCGGCAGAAGGCGCACCGATGCGTGCTCTCGGCGGCGTGCGCCGGGTGGGGACGGCGAGGGATATGGCAGACCGGCTTGGCTTGGCGCTGGCCCTCGCCCGCACCCAAAGTAGGAGGCGGCGTGAGCACGACGCCGCATGTAGACAGAGATCGTCGAGTCTGCAGAGCATGCGCGGGTGGTCGAGCGAGGGCAGAGGCATCTAGAAGGTCAGTATATGTGCCCTGGGGTGCCGCACAATGCACTGAAAAAAAAAGACTCACCTAGGTGTATATGCCCTCCATTCGACCCTCACACCTTCCCGCGCCCTTGCTAGCCCGTCCAACGCCCATCAAGGTGAAGCAGAATCCAGCGAACGCACGCCGGGCAAAGATCGCTCTGCGCGGCCTATGTTCGCTCGTGGCCCCGCACCCTGCCATCCTTCCGTCATGTCGTCGACCAGGGATCGACGCGTCCTGCGTAAATCTATACGCTCGCGAGCCGTCGTGATCGAGGGTGTGCGTCGGCAGAAACTCAGATGAGCCTGCGTGATCGGCTCGTCGTGTTCAGAGCAAAGAGAGCTGCCGCCGCCGGGTCGCCATCTATTGTAAGCGTCCGCGCGCTCGAGAGCCGTGGTGATCGGAGAGGAGTGGGTCGCGGATGTGGCAGGCCTGCACAATCGGCGCATCGCGTCGGGCGTTGGTAAGGTGGTGGCGGCGAACAGAGAACGCGGCCGGTTCGGGTGCCGTAGTGGTGAAGAACGTGTGAAGGGCAGCTGATCGTCGTGTAAGGCAAGAAGAGATGGGCGATCCGCGAGGCGCGGGGACGATGCATCGCGTGCATTCTTGCGAGGGCTTCGAGGTCGCAGAGCGCGCTAAGTTGGTCGAACGAGGGGGGAAAACGCGTGAAAGGTAAGTGTATGCGCCCTGGGGTGACACGCAATACCGGGCGACCGCGACTCACCTACAGCACCGATCCAATGCTATTCCTCCATCCCTCCCTCCTCCTGTAGTACCGCCACAGCCGAGTCGCCATCTGTTGCAAGCGTTCACACGCTCGAGAGCCGTGGTGATCGGTCGAGGAGTGAGCGGCGCATGGCGCCGGCGTTGGGAAGGTGGTGGTTGCGGTGAACGACGGGGCGGGCTCGCGTTGTTACACCGTGGGCAACAGAGAGGATCGTGGCCGTTCAGTACGCGTGCGCGTGCTCGTCGTTGCCGCGGAGTCAACGAGGGCGCACCGGAAAGCGCATGGGCTGGTGCGAGGGTCGTCGAGGTCGGCAGAGCGCGCTGGGATGGTCGAACGAGGGGGGAAAGCCTGTAAAAGGCAAGTGTATGCGCCCTGGGGCGACGCGCAATACCGGGCGACCGCGACTCACCTACAGCACCGATCCAATGCCAACCCTCCATCCCTCCCTCCTCCTGTACTGCCGCCACCGCTGGGTCGCCATCTCCTGCATGCGTCCGCGCGCTCGTGAACCGTGGTGATCGGGCGAGGGAGCGGGCGGCGGATGGGGCGGGTCTGCATGAATGGCTCGACGCGTTGGGCGCTGGGAGGGCAGTGGTTGCCGGCGAACGACAGCGCGGGCTCGCATTGGTACGCTGTGGGGTACAGAGGGTACTGTGACCGTCCAGCACCCGTGCGCATGCTCGTAATTGCCGCGGAGTCGAGGAAGACGCTGGAGTAGAGCGAGCACGCTCTCGTTCGCATGCCATCGAAGTCGGCGGAGGTACGAGTAGCACGAGCGAGCGCGCCGCATGCTATCGTTCTCGTGCTCGCTGTTGATGCAGCGAGGCAGCTGCTCGGGCGCATACTTTAGGCGGATGGAGTAGAAGAGAGCGGTGCAGCGATTGTGAGGGCGCACGATCACGAACGCCCGTGGGTCTGGCGTGCTTGGTGCTGAGGGGATATGCGGGTGCGCCGGTGGCCGAATGGCGGTATGGGGCTTGCAGGGACCCGTGCTGGCTCGTTCGCGTGTTGTCGAGATTCATGCACGGCGCGGGAGACAAATAGGGTGGGGGAGCCTTTCAGGAAGGAACCTAGCGCGCGTGAGCCGACGCTGCCGGGAACGGCCTCGCCAGTCCCTCGCATCCACTTTCGTAGTACTCGAGGGTGCACTTGCCGCAGCGTGACCGACAAGCTGGTACGTTGGCGATGCAAGACGGGTGGTTCGTGCGCGATGAGGCGCGAAAAGTTCATGCGCGCGTCGGCGGAGGTGACCTCCACGGTACTGAGGCAGTGATTGTCCTAGTCTATGCCTCCTGGATGATGCGGAGGTGTGCGTCGGCCTCATCGCGAGTGGCCTCTGGGCGCGCATCGTACTCGAGGCGATGTTGTTGTAAGACGCGTGGATTTCCGAGTACAACTCGGATCTCCAGATGATGGACAGAGTTGAGAAAGATCGACTAGAAACCGCACCGTGAACAACACAGTGCGGTCAATCGTCGAGACTGATAAAAAAAAGAAAACGTTTGTTAGCGTGTCGAGTCTCAAATGACAACTTACCTGCGGACCTCAGCGTCCGGCCGCATGTATGAAGCACAGCCTCTCCGTCCTTCACGGTCATGTACGATACTTGCGAATGTCGAGGAATGCGCGGTGAGGAAGGCTGAGGTCCGAGATAGAGAGGCGAGAGGCGAGAGGTGAGAAGTGGGAACAGGCGCGAGTCTCCCCGATTGGGAAGTGAAAGCGGCAGCAAGAGCGGATCTAAGTACAGGTCCTGGAGGGTCGCAAAGGGCTCCGTTCGCGGAGATTTTTGGCATACATATAGGTGAATGGTATAGCGAGAGGTCGCAAGCAGCGCCTAGGGGATAGAGTGGATGTACGGCGAGAAAAAAATAAAATGAGCTACGCGCTAAGCGGGCGCTTATCGAGCGAGCTCAAAGAACAATGCATAGAAAACAAACCGGACGGTGAAAATACTTGAAATTTTGATATGATGAGGAGGATATGCATGCCTAGGGGTCGCAAAAATAAAACAGAATTTAGAGCACCTGCTCAAGTTTTTAGAAATATTCTAGTCAAAGTTGACAGAATGCAAAAACTTACCTGATTGCGCAAGCTTTCGCGCATGATCCATTGCGTCGAATGATTGCGACCCTTTTGCGACCCCGAGAATCGAAGCAGGGCTTTCCAATGAGATTGTTTTCAAGAGGATAGGACATGATCTCGAGGAGCTAGGAGGTGCGCACGGAGGGAGGCCGAATGTTACATTCGGCCCGGGTTATATAGATAGGAGAACGAGCCTTACCTCAGGAAGGTCAGAGTAGAATGAAGTTGGCAATGCTTGTGCAGATGGCTACAGGTTGTATGATGAGTCTACTACCTCTTGTCTTGGTTGCTCGCAAGTATCTAGGTGTATTATCAGTGTAGTTAAGTGCACTTGAGGGATGTGAGCTGCAGCAATGGGAACACGCTGCAAGGTTCATATACAAGCAAACTTTGTTGGGTCCAATTATCGATGACACGCAACTCGATTCACCACCCTGGTCACCTGAAATCAGCATTAGATATGCACTTCATTCTGCCTTTCATCAGGGGTTGAACATCAAGCTTGGCAGTGATCTTGCACCCTTCTGCTCCATAAGTGATTCCAATCTCATGCTGATTCAGATGTTTTAATGTGCCAGTGCAGGAGATATCCTCATGCTCAAAGCATCTATTTTGCGAAGCATACAAGACTCGCATTCAGGATGTTGAATCCGTCATCTCACGTATACAGTATGTCGAGCTGGAGAACCCACCTGCTCATTTCTCGACAGTCAGCAGAGATTTTTGTCATGCATTGGTGCACTTTCTGTGTGGCTGGCATCATCCAGAAGATCCAGAACTACAAGCTGTCTTCAACCTGGATGGAAACAGCCATATGAATATAGATGGGCCAGATCATGATAAGTTGCTTCAAGCGATGCAGTTTGTGAAAACAGTCACTGGACTGCATTTTCTACCAGCAGACGGTGGCATCATCAAGGTATATATATCATATTTACTATCTGAGTATGACTGATTCAAATGGCGATCACACAGATTAACCATACACGCACAATTTCCCAGCATGTTCTTTGGGGACTTGGACAAGGTGGCACTGGGGCAGCATTCTCTTCAAATGTAAGTGTCATCTCGCCGTTAGCTGCTGCTTTGGAAAATGTTTATTGTCATCAGCACGAGAACGACTTAATTCCACCGTATGTGCATACCTGCCTCAGGACCCTTGACGTCTATGTAAACAATGGTTTGTGCAACGCACTTTGGGAGTCGCTGAATGCTAGCAATGAGGAGTTCACGTCGATGGACAGATATTTCTACACTGCATTCATGGAGTGTGGACGTGATAGCTACACTTGACAATTCTCCATACTCTCACTGGTTCTGCTGCATAGTCTTTCTGATTGTACTCGAAAATTCATGTAATTATGTATCATTGCTGTATCGTACTAATATCAGTGACAAGTCAATGTGAACATCACGGTCTCTGAGCTCCATATGTCTCTATCCAAGTTGAACCCCTCTACAGCTACATGAATAAGTGCCCTCTTCGGCACTCTAACGCTCATCACCTCTTGTCCACTCCCATCTGGCATGTACATGTGTACAGGCATATTTGTCAGCTGCACATTGTCTGTGTCACTAGGCAGATCGACCAGTGCATGGGCCAGATAAGGTGCAGTGTCATATATGACATTTTCCAGGCATAACAGCTCTGTGACGGCGCTGTACAATGAGGCGACTTTGCCCGGCATGGGTGTGAAGAGTAGTATGGGTGTGGCAACAGCTATGAGGTCATGGCAAAGGCAGATCTGGGTGGCAGATACTTGGCGATGAGATGGAGCATCCAGGTGACCACGAGCATGGGCTCAAAGTTTTCAAAAAGGCAGCAGAAGGTGCCGCAGGTGCATATTGAAGCCAGCGAGTCCACCTCGCCTGCAGTTGAGATCTGCCCATGAAAGATTCAAGGATATCTGGTGTAGAAGGTCCGGAGCATATGTACTCAATTGATCCCATACCCCAACCCTCAGAGGAAACACGTTCACTGCCCACCAGCCTCACCAACAGCGATGCTCACATCACCAATTCTCCTCACCATCATAGTGCAGCATGATGCTTGAGAATCTCATGAAGAGGTCCACGTTCTCCGGTGAAGGCTCCATGTCATCGTCTGAGCTGAGCCCCAGCGTTCTAGGCATGCTCGAACCTGCAACACCCTTAACGGACAAATGCTGATTTGCGTGTGACAGCTTCTGTGATGGTGGCCAGGGAGATTGTTGGGGAGAGTGTGAATGCTGCTTCTCCAGGTGCAGGGAATGTGACTCGCACATCTGCTAAAAGTTCACTGCATCCGTGCCATTTGAGACTGTTGGCATGATCTGTTAGAGTTGGACCACAAGGTCAGTAGAGTTGGCAACCACAGGGGAGAGAGTGCGGAGGCAGAGAAGGAGGGGTGATGCAGGTGTGACAGTGTACAGAAACAAGATGCCTAACGTCTACCAGTCGACAGCGGATGTATGCGAAGATGACTCGATGACTTCCAGAGCAATGTACAATCGCTTCCTCACAAGCAGTGGTTATCTCACCTTCCGTGCCAATGAAAGAGCTCATTCTAAAGTCAGCAGTACATGACCAAGTGTCAATCAAAGGAATCTAATGGTTGAGTGGTTCTGATGAGCATGCATATAAAGCTTTAATGACAAGACACACCCCGTTCTCTCGATCTGTATTTAAGTTGATGTGCCAACGCGCGAGGATGCCATCACTCACAGACTTGACCTTGATAGAATGGCTTGAATAGGTTCTCCAGAATGCTACTCTGCCTGGCTCGTCTACTGTCATATTGGCATTCGACACTCTGTCCTTCATCTTGTTCCTGGTGATGGATGTTGTGCTATGTGCACGCTGAGGCTGTGGACGAGTCAAATGGCCTCTTGACAACGCAGAAGATATCGTTTCTAGTGAGTTTGTGCCGCATTCTGACTCCTGCGTCCCATTAGGTATTGGAGGCAGGCTGTCTGCTGATGACAACAGCCTGTTCCATGTGTGTGATCCTGACTGCGAACCCAGGTAGAAGATGCCCTTCGCATTGCACCCAGATGCAAAGATGGTGAAGCTGCTAGTCAGCCCTGTTGTGGCTCCCAAGTCGGGAGATGCTCACGTCGAGAACAGAAAGGCACGTGACTAATCTCACATGGCCAAATTTCTGTTCACCACATGGCCAAATTTTCGTCTGCCACATGGCGGAATTTCTCTCCATCGACCGATTTTTCACCTGCACCTGAATTTTACTTCTGTTCCTACATTTAATAATATTGTCCAATATGGTCCCTTATAGAACAGGGCATGGCAGCAGCACTGTTTATTAAACACATGCAGAAATAAGTGGGATATGCACGGGTGGCTGTGATTTGGAAAAGTCATATCCAAAGTCGTACCTAGTTGGGTTCGAAACTGTGTTACGGTCTGGAACAGCTCGCACGTCACATTTTTCAAACTCAGTCATTTGGAACAAAACAGTTTTAAATTCCTACGGATAGTCATTCATTGACGGTCTCAACGTGGGAGATTTTACGGTCCCACAGGCGTGCGCGGGGCCCTCAACCGTGTTACCATTTTAGGCAGTCAATGCCAACGTGCAACATTTTCTCACAGCTCATTTGTGCGCATCTCACCGTTTGGCACTTGTTCGCTCGTGAATTCTGTTCCAAAATAACAGGATAATTTTTGATTTACTCTGATGACCCTCCGAGATCATCTTCGCGATCTGGATCGCGCTCTCACGCCCGTACGTGGCGGTGCGGGCGTGCGCGGTGATGGTGGTCCGGGGTCCTCGAGCCGCGGGCGCTTGCGGGCGGTTGGCGCGCGTCGCGTTTCGAGGGTGGGCCGCTTACGTCAGCGTCATGCGCGGACCATCAATCTGTCCGGATTCAGACCTTCTCCTCACGATGTTCAGAGTTCGATATCCACCATTCTTCAAGTTATTGCCCACTTCTCGCACTCAGCATCTACGCACGTTTCCAATTGGCCCTATCTTGAGGATGTCATCGAATTCTGTCAACGCTCACATCGAAACGTCCAACCAGCACATTTCCGTTGGCGCGGATGGCAAAGTCTCCGTCGACCTGACGTTCGTCTCAGAGCCACTTGGCCTGCCAGCTCAGGATGGTTACGGCTGGCCTCAAATTGACTTCAATCAAGTCATCGGCCCAGAAGATCGCTACATCATTTGCAGAAAGCTCGGCTGGGGCATGTCTTCAAGCACCTGGCTTGCCCATGACCGCATGTGCACATCGTCATGATTTTCCATACAGTTTCTTGAGTAGCTCTAACTATTTACAGTGAGAACTCCTATGTTGCCATCAAGATACTTAACGGCTACACCACCGACCTTGTCCAGCGTGGTCTCGTCTGGGAACATGTGGCACTCCAGCGTGTTTCGTCTCCGACATCGAGCCCATATTGCCTCCAGCTACTGTCTAGCTTCAGGCTTTCTGGAAAGGGTAGCGCAGGGGAACACCTCTGTTTAGTAACGCAGGTCTTTGACGGAGACGTCAAGTCGCTATTTCTGGCGCATAGCAAAGACAACAAAGTCTTTCCTCTTTCTCTTGCCAAACGCATCCTCCTGCATACCCTTCGCGGCATTGCCCATGCTCACAGCTGTGGCGTCGTACACACTGATCTGAAGCACGATAATATTTTCTTTGACTGTCGCATGTCCACCCACGACTTTGACGAGCTTCTGGCTTCTGATCCATCTCGTCGTCACCCTCCAGAGGCGTCTCAGGACGGAATTGTGCAGTCGGCTGTCTCACAGCCACTCCCACTTCCTTCTTTGCAAGAAGCCATGCAACGAACATTTGCCCTCGGCGACTTCGGTAGCGGTGCGTACAGAGTACAGCTTGCTGTGGCCTCAGTCTGAGATGTTGTCGCAGCTCAGCCTATAGATAAACATACCGTCGACCATATCACAGCTGTGCATCTTCGTCCGCCTGAAATTATTATTGGAGGGCCATGGAATGAAACCGTAGATATATGGACATTTGGATGCTTGGTATGTGTCTTCCTTCAGGCTGTTGCCGGGCACCTCCCGAAAGCATTTAGGTCTTTGAAATTGTCACCGGTCGCGGTCTTTTCAAATACGAGCCATACCTCAAATACCGCCTCAATGACACTAGCAACCTTCTGTACCAGATGATATGCTATACAGGTGAAGACTTCAGTGAAGAGCAGCTCAGGATCGGTGCTCAGGCGGCCGAGTTCTTCGACACTACTTGTGCGTCCAATTTGATTTTGACGTCTACCAAATATTCAAGTTCAAACAGGTAACCTCAGAGAAAACCCAACACTTTATAACTACTCGTTCGAAATATGTATTCGGAGTTACAAAGTCATAGAGGAAGCCGACGTTCTTTCCACCGCTCGTCTGATGAGGAGATGCTTACGCCTGGATCCTGCAGAGCGTGCGAGCGCTGTCGAATTACTTTCTGATCCGTGGTTCAATGGTGTCGATTAGGACCGCTTGACATACAGTAGTACGATCCACACATATTTATCGTTTGACGGTTGTGCAATGATTGTTACACCGCAGACATGAAGCGATTTGTGCAGTACCATCCCCGAGAGTCGGTGGACACATCCTGAGACCCTGCCCATTCCCGTGTTCCGATTCCTCTGCTTTCCCTCATTCCCTTTTCCTATGCCAAAATGTTTCGCCTACATATTTCGCGGAAGCTACCCCATACGTCGGTGCTTCGCGGAATTATGTATACGTAGTGTCTGGTCTAAACCTAATGGGTACACTTTGCTCTGTGCAGTTTGTCCTTCTCGATGTAACCACTTGGCATTAACACTGTAAATCTGACTTTTGGCTGGGCTTTTTGGCACAACAGACTATAAGTACACGATAAAGGCACGCGAAAGAAAAAAAAGTCGACACAAAAACCAGTGACTTCCCTAAATCGAGCCGAGCGTACATCACAACTCCTCCTCCCTCGGTTTCCTTCGGCTCCCGCACGAAACACCTCAGTCGACAGCCAAATCCACCCCATCCGCAGCGATCTCCGCCAAGTACACCACCCTCTCCGCCAATATCACAAGCATGCCCTTGCCCGCAAACACCAAGTTGGCCGACTCGGCTCCAAGAAAGAACTTGCCGATCAGCGTGCCCTCCTTGTTCCAGACCTACGCGTATACGCATGCAGACGTCAACTCGTGACTGCATAAGTAAAAAGACGAAGGGAAAACACTGACGTGCACGCCGTCAGCGCAGCCGGAATAGATGTTGCCCGCCGTGTCGACCTGGAGCCCGTCCGGTATGCCGGCATCGACGTACGTGAACACACGCCGGTTGAGGAACACCTGCGACTTGCGCTCGACGTCGAACGCGTAGCTGGAGACCCCCGTACAATCAGAGCCCATAGCTGATGCGTCGGCGCCGTGACGTACATGGTAGACGGCAGCGTCGTGTTCCTTCCCAGGAAACCACCCGCAGCTCCCGAGTCCACGCTGTTGACGATGAGCGCGCGAGGCGTGAAGGTTGGAGAAAATGCACTCACATCTACGCGGTCTTGCCGTCCTTCGTGAATGCGAGACCATTGCACCGCGCGAACCCATCAGCGATGACGCGAACATGGGCGGTATCTGGATCGAAGCGGTACACCTGGTTCGGCAGCAGCGGGGGCGGGCGGAAATGGTTAAGCCATATCGACATCGGTTCGTCACGTCAGCACACCCACACGACGTCGTCGACTCGAAACTCGGAATATCATCCAGGACACTCACGTCACATCCGTGAAAAAGATCGCCCCGCTCTTCGGGTGCACCTTGACGTCCGAATTCAGCGAGTTGAACTGCTGGCCAAAGTAGTTGTCCAGCAGCACGGTGGCGTTGTGAGGCGGGTGCGCGTGCACGAGCACGAGGTTGGGCGGCATGTTCGCTCGGCCAGAGTTGATGAGCAGCAAAGGGGACTTCCGACCGTGTGGCACGTGATCGTTCTCGCGTTGGTGGCGTCCCTTGTCACTCTGCCCTACGCGACGCGCTTTGCATTTATGCACTGGCGGGGGCGTATTCACTGGATTACATTTAGGATTTTGAGACGGCGGACAAGATGGCGCTCTTCAATCACGTTCAAAACAAGGTATGCCATAATTTATATATCATGAAGGCCCACTGCTGAAGCTCAGCAGATATGGACGAGCATCGTGGAGGAAGGATCGACGACTCATATTATTTGACGCGAGTTTTGGCGCTCACATTTGCCCGTCTGAAGAACGTGCGCGGAAGACGCTAGCGAAAGGTGAGCAGCTGATGTGCTGCTATCGGAAAATGTTCTGCACAATTGCGGACATGTTATTCCGGTAAGCGGTCATTTGCTCCTGATTATGCTCAGGTCATTGCAGACTCGCGAGGACCCATTACGATACATTTATTCTGAAATCCGCACATCTGCTGATGACACGCGAGAGTATCAAATGACAAAAACATATCTGGAACTGGAGGCAAAGGTGAGCGTGACATGTTACTGTGACGGAACGCGAATCAGCAGTCACACGCGATCTCCTGGTCTTGCCATAACCGACGCTACCGCGACACAGTACCATGTTTTCCTTTTCGTTACAGTACCATCGATCCCCTCAGTCTTCCGCGGGTCTCCAAACACCCATTTCGAGCCGTGCGTTCAGCTTTCGAAAGACTGTTCTCGACCGTCTGCATATATATGCATACATATACTCCTGGCATCCCCTTCAGCCACGAACAGCAGGTGTTCCTCTGCATTGACTGTCCTTTCGACTCCGTTGGTTATTCTGTCACTGCAACGTGCATGGCGCAGGTAGCGAGCAGCGAGCAACAGACCCGCCACCGAGACACGTGCGTGCGCGCGTGCGCCTGCCAAAATCGGAAGCGGCGGTGAGCCATCCCTTTCTCGAGCCCTTTCCTTTGCCCTCTCTTCGCCATCCTCTCTATAAAGCTCATCGCTCCTTCTCCGCTTAGCCTCCTCGTCTTCCTACTCTCGCTTCCTCCCAGCTTAGCACAACTAGCTAGCTGTACAGCCTGCACTCGCTCTTGCGTGTGCAGCAATCTTCGGGCCCGACCGACCTAGCGAGGAGTCCCCAGCACTCCTCTAGGTCGCCGCGTCCGCCCTTCCATTCTGCATGAGCGAGCTCCATGCGCATTTTATCCTACGACAGCAGCAGGCCTTCCAGCGTCTGCTCGATGGCAACAATGCCCGCGCACAAGCCGCCGCTCCCAGCACCAGTGGCGGAAAGTCCTGGAACCGCCCCAGTCCGCTCAAGGCAGCCGCACTACCCAAGATTGATGTGAACGCCCGTGACTGGCTGGGGCGCACTGTCCTACACCTCGCAGCGGCCTCTCAGGACGCATCCGCGACCGAGTACGTACGAATGCTCCTCGCCCATCCAGACATCAACGTCAACGTCACCGACAAGGAGAGCAAGTGGACCGCCCTTCATCGCGCCCTCTATCGCGGGAACCTTGCTTCTGCTATCTTGCTTCTGCAGCGCCCCGAGATCGATACGTCTCTGCGCGACTCGGAGGGTTACACTGCGTTCGATCTGTACAATTCCACCGTGGAGAATACCAAGCCGGAATCGCGCGATGCAAGCCGTGCAGACCTGTTCACCTGGGGCGCGAACAGGAATGCAGCGCTCGGCCTTGGGCATGGGGACGACAGGCTTCATCCTGAACAGGTGGTTGTGCACCCGCCTAAGGGTACGCCCGTGTCGGAGGAAGAGAACCTCGATGCGCGGTTCTCGCCGATCCATGTGAAGGACGTGGTGATGTCCAAGCTCCATACAGGTACGTGTGCAGATTCCATTCTGCTCGCCTGCAGTTGTGTTTGACGCTGATCAGCGGTTGTGACGGCCGAGAGCAGGGGCAACCTGCGCGTGTGCGGGTTCGGCAGCGGTGGCCGGTGAGTCTCCCCGTCCCTCCTCATTCTGCGTCCCATCACTGAGCTTATGTGTTTGTAGCTTGGGCCAAGGCCAGAACACGCAATATAACCTCATCCCGCTCTCGCAGCTCAACAGCACCATCACTGCCGTCGCGCTCGGGCAGGACCACACGCTCGCCGTCACCAAAGCAGGCGAGGTGCTCAGCTGGGGCTTGAACCGCTTCGCCCAGCTCGGTTACGTTGTCGAGCCACCCGCCGGCGTCGCGGGCCGCGCGGAGGAGCCGATCCAGGCTACGGCGCGGAAGGTAGGCGGGCCGCTGAAGAACAGGGTCGTCGTGGGCGTCGCAGCATGCAAGACAGCCAGCGCTTGCTGGACGCGGGAGGAGCTTTTTACTTGGGGGACGAATAGTGGGCAGTTGGGTGAGTGGGCTTTCGATGTTCGGTGTTGGTGGAGAGGGGCTTATGGCATGCGCGGCAGGCTATGATCGGTCGGCTCATCCTGTGCAGGTGTTGCCGCGGATCGTGACCAAGGTGTTATACTCCATTCGTTCAGTTTCTATCACTGTAGGTTTTTCGTATTCGGAATCTTGCATGGATTGCTCACGGTCACTCAGGATGCGGCCATGGCCTGTCTACTCGTGACGAACGACGTCGTTCTTGTGTGGAATGACGAATCCAGGAAGATAAAGTACGTTATTCTGACATCCTTTCGCATGCGGTCATGATATATTCTACGGCTCGTGTACCGTCAGCTTCCCGGGCCATGCCTTCCCATCTGAAATCGCGGTGTACAGACCGCCTCAGGCAATGAGCAACAACCGCATCGAGAAGATTACAAGCTCTGAGAACTTGTTCGCCGCGCTTTCGTCCAACGGAGAGGTTTTCACTTTTACCGTTCCTCCACCTCCTGCACCTGCTGCAGATGGTACGCCGAGCAAGCAGCGCCCTTCCATTTCCCCCAAACGCGTCTGGGCCCTTCGCAAGAATTTCAGCGCTGTCAAAGTACGTGATCACCACTCATACTAATCACTAGTACTCGTCGTTTATCATCTCACGTCAGGACGTTGCGCTCGGCGCGGACGGCTCGATAATCATCTGTACAGAATCCGGGCATGCCTTTGTGCGCTCGCGCAATGGCAACGCGGGGCAGGGCGGCATGGGCAAGGCGTCCAAATTCCAGCAGGTGCCGTACATGCAGCGCGTCGTGCGCGTGTGCGCGAACACGACGGGGGCATATGGCGCGCTGCGTGTTGATTATGAGCCGCAGCCGATTCGCATTGTTGGGAATGTGCTTGCACAAGACCTCGCGGAGATGCAACCGTGGATGCGTGCGGAAGGGTTGGGAGAGGGAGAAGAGAGTATTGCTACGGTAGGCGAAGGTGTGGAGAGGGAGGAGAGGGAGGAGATGCGGGCGGTGGAGGTGGGTGGTAAGGATGACTGGGATAACGAGACATTGATGGGTGAGGACTTGCGAGAGAAGAAGATTCAGGTGGTCGAGACGTTGCAGGCGGTCGAGATTCAGCGGGAAAAGGAGATTCAGGCAGTCAAGTTGCCGCGGGAGAAGAAGATTCGGGCGGTCGAAGCGTTGCAGGCGGTCGAGATGGTGCGGGAGAAGAAGATTCAGGCAGTGGAAGTGTTTCAGGCGGTCGAGATGCCGCGGGAGGAAGAGTCAGATGAGGAGGACGAGGACGAGGCGGTCCGGAAAGACGTCAACCAGATGAAGCTGCTGTGCGCACTGCTCGAGCGCATGAACGCTGGCGCGACGCCGTGGGACGATGCGCACCTCCTGCACGGCGCGGACCTCATCGTGCACGTCCCACCCAAGTGGACGATTCCCGTGCACCGCGTGATGCTCGCCGCGCGCTCTGCCGTGTTTGCAAGCATCCTACGCGGAGGTCCACCGGTCGAGGAGCACGAACGCGGAATGCTCATAGAGATGCTTCCGGCAAACGTTGACCTCAGTCGTTCAACGCTCAAGCTTATAGGGTGTAATCCGATGGCCGTGCTGCTGCTACTGACTTATTTATACTCCGATGACTTGCCCGCGCTATGGGATCACCGTGTGCGCGGCGCGGTCGAGCGGGAGTTGGCAGAGCTAGGGATTGAGCATGCGCAAGTGAAAGCGGATATACAGCACCTCGCGCGGACGCTGAGCCTCCCGCTGCTTGAAGAAGTGCTGGAGGCCCCTGTGAAGCGCATGCCGAGACAGTCATTGTCGGAGGACATGCGGCGGCTTTTTGAGGCGAGCAATGGCGCTCTTGCTTCGGCAAAGGCCTCTGGGGAGGTCCCGCTTACCCCAGATGTGGTGCTGAGATTGGCGGATAGGGATGTGCGTGTTTATTCGGTTTTGCTGCGTGCGAGGTCGTCATTCTTTGCGGCATTCTTTGACGATGAGGATTGGACGACGAAGCGGTGGAATGAAGATGGTGTGATTGAGGTCGAGTTTGGACATTTGAGATGGAGGGAGATGGAGTATGTGATGCAGTTTTTGTGTTGTGGAGGAGACCAAGAGATGTTTGAGAGCATTGGTACATCATCCTAACTTTGATCATTTGAACTGTTGGTCTGAAGTGCCCTCACAGATGATGTGCACTCCGTGGATGAGCTGTTGGACTTGATGTTGGACATCATAGCAGCTGCGGTGCGTTCTTTACACTCTTCCAACTCGAAACGTCACCGATCAATATTCTTTCACAGAACGAGTTGCACCTCCATCGCCTTATACTCTTATGTTCGCAAGTCATCCTGAAGCGTGTGAACGTCAACAACGTCTGCTCCCTCTTCGCGGATGCTTCGCACTACCACGCTATGTCCCTGGTTCACGCCTTACAACAGTATGCAGCTGTCAGCATGGAGACGCTCTTGGAGAGCCATATGCTCGACGAGCTATCCGGTCACCTTATCAAGCAGCTGTCTGCCTTCGTGCGCGAGCAGCAGGCATGCAAGCATCCTGTGTCTCGTTCGAACCTTTTGGTTCATAGCGCCATGGAGGCACACCGCGATTGGATCGAGAAGCAGGATGTTCCCTCCACTATTGTCCCTGCGAATAGGTTCGGAGCGTTCAGGGACTCGCCGAAGTTATCTCCACCGGGATCTGACAAGATGCATCATCGGCAGTCTGATCTCGCGCCTCCGAATAGTCCTGCTCTGCACCCTCAGGTTCCACCAAAGGCAGCAGAGAACATTCCCGCTGACGACGAGGTCTTCTTGATGGATGATCCAGGGACGTCACCCACACCCTTTCGAACTGAAGTAGGCGATAGCCCCAACAAGTCCTTCGGTGGATGGAGGACGATGTCATCTGCTCCCCGGTAATGTTTCTCGTCTCATATTTGATCGTATACGCTGATTTATGTGTATCTTCAGCGTTGACATGCGGGTCATCATGGCCGAGGCTCAATCCGCCGCGCCGACTGGCAAGCTCACACCATCTGGCTCCATGTCTCGTGTTTCGAGCTCGGGCGCCGGCTTTCTGCCGCGCGGAACACCTCCACGGGCGAGCATGGTGGTGCCTACCACGCCAAGATCGTCATCGAGCTCGCCGTGGAGGGTGCCGCAACAAACTACGACACCGACGAAGCCACTGGCAGGTCTGTCGCCGCCTAACACCGGTAAATCCGAGAAAGCAGCCAGTCGAGCGCCTGGATTCGTGCCTGGAAATTGCCCTACACAACCTCAGACACCAACAAAGACTGCGGGCACCTTGGGGTTGGGCCCGGTGATCATGCCGGCCAAGCTGGTCGCTCCATCCTCGTCCACGGGCTCGTCCTCTATGATTCGCCGTGCCAAGTAAGTCAGCCTGTATTCTTTGAGACAATGCCTAACTCACACGACGTTGCGTAATGTGCAGAAGTGAGAGTGTATGGACGCCACCGCCCGTCCAGCCTATTGTGCATGCCTCGTCATCCAGCGCTGCTATGTCGTTTATCGCTATCCAGCAGCTACAGCGGGAACAGGGCGTTGGAGTGACCAAGGATAAGCAATCCCTGTTGAAGATCCAAGAAGAGGAACGCGCGCGGCAGGTGGAGGACGACTTTCTGAAATGGTGGGCCGCCGAGGAAGCTAGGCTGCAAGCTGAAGAGCAGGCAGCGCAAGTGCGGGCTGTGGAGCAAGTGAAGGCACGTCCGCAGAAGACAAAGAAGCCTAAGACCACGAAGGGCCAGCAAACATACAGCCCTTCGAAGAACAACTATGAGACATCGCAGGCTAATGAGAGCTCTTCAAGTCGGCGCGACGGGAACCCTCAGGAACAGAGCGTGTTGCAGACAAGCGGTAAGAAGAAAGCGAAACCTAGACCTGCTAAGGACAAGGAGCTGAAGACGACTGGAAAATCATAACGACGCGATGAGATCTAGGGTTGGCGTGTTTCTATCTTTATTTCTATGATACCACTAAGACTACAATTGATACGAGTTGGGGTAGATACAATCAGATGATGTAGCAGTACATTGCAATGTCCCCATAGATGCCATCAACGATAGTGTGACGTTCCGAACATGCGCTCAGTTGCTTGACTCTTCGCCGGGTGCAATACCGTCGACAGGGCTCGACGATCCGATGGCTGCGTCCGCTGGATGGTTATCCTTGATATCGAGAATTTTGCCATGCTCGCTTGCACGGATTGTGACAACGTCGCCATCTCTGATGGAAAGTGTCACCAACATTGATCGATGACGTTCAGCAGAGGGACACATACCTGATCGTACCGTTGAGCAATTTCTGTGCCAGAGGGAACAGAACTTTCGTGCGGACCACCCGCGCGATCGCACGAGCACCATAGATATCCGAATATCCCTCCTCCGCAAGCCACTCCCTCGCACGCTGGTCGACGTCAAGCGAGATACGCCGGTGCTTCAGACGCGCTGCGACATCAGTCAGCCGGAGCGAGACGACTTGGAGGATACTCTCGTGCGAGAGCTTGTTAAACACGAGCATCGAGTCGAGCCGGTTCAGCAGCTCGGGCGGGAAATACTCGGCCGTGCGCTCGAGCACCTGTTCGCGCGCCTCGGGCGTAACCACGCCGTTAGCGTCCGACGCGGACTTGTGCGCAAGAATGTCGCTCCCTGCGGGGAAGGTGGAACGTTAATAAGAGAACCGGAGATGAGATAGGACGAGAGACGAGTGAGATAATGCATACCCAGGTTACTGGTCAAGCAAATGATTGTGTTCTGTCAGATCAGATACAGGAGACGGAAGGCCGGAATCAGTACAAAGAAGATACGAGGTGCACGGAAGATCTCGTCAGCATACCTTGAAGTCAACCTTACGGCCTAAGAGAAGACAATCGTGAGAACGCCCATCTAGCCACCGGACTGGAAGAAAGGATGCGCACCTTGCGAGTCGGTAATACTACCCTCGTCCAGGATTTGGAGGAGGATCATCGCCACGTCCTTATGGGCCTTTTCCAACTCATCGAGCAGAATAACGGCTGAACGAGGAGAGTCAAGTCGGTATGATTCCTGGAATGAACTGAGGAATCACTGCGTACCGTAAGGCTTGCGACGGACGGCTTCGGTCAATTGACCTGTGCGAGAAGCGGCACGTCAGGGGTGACCGAGAATCAACGTCCATGTCATATCACGTACCGCCCTCCTCGAATCCGACGTACCCTGGCGCAGCGCCAATGAGCCGTGACATTGTGTGCCGGTCATGATATTCCGACATGTTAATATTGATCCTAACCAGCCAGGATTTGAGCAGTCATCCCAGAGCACAACCCAAAGCTAGAGCGCTTACAATCCTCGATTCTCGTCGTTGAACAGGAACGCCGCAAGTGCCTTGCAAAGCTCCGTCTGTCAAGCCGGGTTAATGTTTGATGAGTGCAGACATGAGGCATGCACAATGCTCACCTTTCCGACGCCTGTCGGGCCCAAGAACAGGAAGGACGCCACGGGGCGGTTGGGCGCCTGGAGACCTGCACGAGAAATGCGCACGGCATCGCTGACTGCCTGCACGACATGGTCCTGGCCAACGACGCGCTGTCTGAGCACGTCCTCCATCTATCGGCCCACTGCTCAGCGTCCTCGTTGCACCAGGCTTACACAAGGCACTCACATGGACCAACTTCTCCCTCTCGCCTTTCAGCAAGTTCTGGACGGGGATGCCCGTCATCTTCGCCACGACGCGCGATATGTCCGCACTCGTCACCCTATCATGCAGCATCATCGGCATTGGGCCTTCTACATCGCCGTCGGCGTGGTCCGGTTCGTTCGGGAGCTGGCGCTCGAGTTCAGGTATTGTTGCGAAGCGCAAGCGCGACGCGAGTTCGTACTGTCCCTGCCTCTGCGCAACGTCGAGCTGGTGCTTCGCATCTTCAAGCCGCTGTTTGATATCCTTGTTGTGCTGCAGGCGTGCACGCTCTACAGAGCGAGATTCATCAGCTCGCGCCACAAACTCGGTATACCGGACTACGCACCCGCTTGCCAGATTTCCGTCAATCTCGCCGCCTCTTCCTGCTTCTGCGTCAGTGTCTCGTCGACCTTCTGCAACCGCTCCACGCTGAACACATCCGTCTCGTTCTTCAGACTCTCTCGTTCAATCTCAAGTGTCACGATCTCGCGATCAAGCGCGTCCAGTTCGTCCGGTTTGCTCTCCTGCGCGAGCCGCAGCGCAGACGCAGCTTCGTCCACCAGGTCGATCGCCTTGTCTGGTAGGAATCGGTCTGAGACGTATCGCGCACCGTACACCGCCGCTGCGTGCGAGGATCAGCTGTCTGGATGGGGCGTGAGATGTTTAAAAAAATGTACCGGTTACGAGTGCACTGTCTGCAATCCCCACACCGTGATGCAGCTCATAGCGCGGCTTGAGTCCGCGCAGAATCGAAATCGTGGCTTCCACCGTCGGTTCCTCGATCTGCACCGGCTGGAAGCGCCGCTCGAGCGCTGCATCCTTGCCAATTGTCTTGCGATATTCGTCAGCTGCAAAGGGCTTACATTATTGACGTATGTGGAGTGGCAAGTAGCTCATACATACGCGTCGTGGCGCCAACAAGCTGCAATCCGCGGGCAAGCGCGGGCTTGATCATTTGCCCAGCATCAATGCTGCCCTCGGCCTTGCCGAGATTGAAAAGGGTGTCTGTTCAAGAAAGTGCGCGTCAGTATGACAATCACGTCGGTGAGGCATCTCCCAGTACTCACGGACTTCGTCGATGAAGCAAATGACACTCCCGGCCTGTCACCATCAGCTCTACCCAACAGTGGCAATCGTTCGACGAGGAACTCACCTCATCCTCAATGTCCCGAATGAGAGCCTTGAACTTTTCCTCGAACTGGCCGCGGATGCCGGAGCCGGCCATGATGGAAGCGAGGTCAATTGAGAGGACGCGCTTGTTCTGGAGAGACTGTGGCAGATGTGAGGAGCGGAAGATGACGTGAGGACTGCGAGACATACTTCAGGAACCTCCTTGGCGACGATGCGGCTGGCGAGACCCTCGAGGATGGCGGTTTTGCCGACACCGGGAGGTCCAATGAGCTATGTAGGAATGACATCAGCATACCATGCCCGTGCGGCGAGATTCTGGCGGACATACCACCGGGTTAGACTTTGTTCTTCTCGACAAGACTGCGTCATATTGAGACGACAACGAAACTTCTTAACGTCAGATTACTCACTCTGGATAGTCCGTCGAATTTCTGCAAGACATGGTATTAGATGGAATCACAAAAGCGCCGAACAAAGACAAACCTTCGTCTCGGCCAATGGTCGGGTCGAGCTTGCCTTGCTTCGCGAGCTCTGTGAGGTCAACACTCTATGGTACGAATGTCAATGAATGACTTCTAGTTCAGAATAATGGCTCGAATGGCCAGAGCATGTGCCGAGCTGGGATGAATGCGGATGGAAACGTCTGGCCGGAGCCTTGACAAAAGTTCCTGTTACCATCCGCATCATCTCAGCAAAAACGCTGGCTATTCGAGCAGCTGCCCGCGCGACTCACATATTCCTTCAAAGCCTCGCCTTTTTGTTGCTGCTGCCCGAAGGAAAACCCGGGGAATCCGCCTCCAGGGTTTCCTCCTCCTGGAGGACCCTGCGCATAATACCGCGCAGACACCGTCGGTAGCACGAACCTGTTCACAAGGCATGGTGCAGCTCTACAGGCGGCACACGGAGTGCGCAGGAGAGGATGTTGGATAAAGGCGGAGGGGTAGACGAGGGTCCGTTTCGGCACGGAGTGCGCGGCGGGTTTGGCGAGCGCGTTCCTTAACATGACGGGGACGAAGAGAGGTGGAAGAAAGAAAGCAAAAGCAGTACTTTCATGGATGAACGCATCGGTCGAGGCTTGTGCGGGCGCCTACCTCGGGCGTCTTTCGAGCGTGTTCCAGCGCGTTCTGGTCCCGTGACCTACAGGGCCACATACCCGACTGCGATGTCTGCTAGTGCAGGCCCAAGGGTACATCGCGCTGACCGCACGGTTGTTATGCCCTGCGTTGAAATGATATGCTTTGCTGATCTGATCCAGAAGTAACCCGTCAGAAGACCTAATTAGCATTCTTGATGTGACTTTTTTCGCCGAGGTTCTCGGGAAGTTGTCTGCGAGGTCAGTTTGAACTTTGAAGGAGAGTGGTGGTCGGATAAGCGAGAGACTCTTCCACATCCAGACCTGCCGTCAATATTCATGATGCTTTGCCATTATGTTCTACCATCGCTACGAATGTCCTACGTAGTTATGTACCATCTGCAATGGAGATCTCGTCGAATTTGATTCCGTCCGTCCTCCTTCTCACCTCCACCGCTGCTCCCGCCCGCCCAGGTCCGCCCAGGTCCGCGCGGCGTAAACATTTGAGCGACTGCCCGACGTTTCCTTTTACGTGCCCATCAACGACCTGATTGACTATTACACCGTGCGCGCCGCCGATGCTGAACCTGCCCGCGAGCGTGCCCCGCTGCATACTCGCCCACACGCGCAGGGCGTCTTCGTTTGCACACCATCACAACTACCACCACCTCGAATACCCCTCCACTTCGCATCCCACCCCGTACCAGATCTTCCACCTCCCGCACGACGCAACCCAGAGGGACATCAAAACAAGATGTGCGCATTACATCTCCTCCTCTCCTGTCCATGCTGCATCTCGCAGCTCCTATTTCACAACCACCTCCGGTGCACTCTGCCCAGCCGCTAACTGACCAGTCCCCTACCCTCCAATCCCGCAGACTACGACCTCGTCAGGATATACCACCCTGACTCGCCCTTCTGCAGGGAAGACTCACCCGAGAAGCGGCACACCCGCTTCCAGGCCATCACCGCCGCCTACGATGCGCTGCGTAGCCGCCGCTCGTTCACGTACTCCGACCCCATCCGTGCCGAGCTAGAAAGGCGACGACGCTCGATGGAGGCGCGCCGCCAGTACGAGCGGCCACGCTCGCGGAGCCACTCGATGTACTCCGAGTTTCTCGCGACGGAGCCTAAGAAGAAGGACGAGGACGCAGAGAAGGACTTGGTGATGGTCTGCATGGGCCTATTGGTGCGCACTTGATACTCTTTAAGCGATGGAATGCGAGATCCTGACGGTACCTAATGCTGACCTGCAGTTGGTCGGGATCGGCCTCATACCCTTCTTCTGGGGCTCCGTCAGCTCGCGAGGCAGCCATCTTGCTGCTGCGTCCAACCTCGCGCAGGCACGACGAGAAGCGAGAGAGTACGGACACGAGCGGCGGCAGGAGATCCATCGACGTGTGCAGGAGTTCAAGGAGCAGCAAGTGCAGGAGCAACTGCATCACGACGGGCCGGACGAGCAGTGTAGCTCATGACCGTCACTATAATCTAAGAACAAGTCCAGGCCCGACGTGAGTCTGTTCATTTGTTGTACCACTAGCATTCATGTACACACTGTATACGTATACATCCTTCATCTATCATCTGCTTTCGCTTCTCCTCATCCCACCCTTCACGACCTCCGCGCCAGCTCCAGATGCTCCGGGCCAAAACTGTGTGGTAACAACTCTTCAATGCTGCTCACGAGCACGCCGCCGCCGGGCCTGCCCTCCGCAGCGAGCGCATCGTAGTTCGCGGGCACGAGCAGCACGGGCATGTTCAGCGCGCAGAACTCGCGCAGCACCTGCCGGCAGATCCCGCACGGGGATATGGGCGAGGGGACGTCGCTGCGGGCAGACAAGCGAGGTGGGCGTGAGTGGAGAAGGGAGGATAGGGGTGTTTGCACTAGGATGGGTGAAGACGTACGTTACGACTGCGAGCGCGACGAATGCTTTGATGCCTTCACTCTGCAACATACACATACACGGCGAACGGTCCAATCCTCCTCGCCGCAACGAGCACGAAGCACACGTACCACAGCCTTTACGATCGCCGTGCGTTCCGCGCATATCGTCCCTCCTACACACCCCTCACGGCCGTCAGCACGTTCGCACTCGATATTGAACTATCCATAAGCACGGAGAGCGAGACGCACCGTACGACGCGTTCTCGACGTTCGCGCCCTTGATGATCGTCCCGTCCGCAGATAGCAACGCCGCGCCGACACGGAAATTTGAGTACTTGCAGTAAGCATATTCCTTAGCTGTACGGTCCAAATGTGCATGTCAGGGTATATTTTGAGAAACTAGAGTTCACGACGGATCCCAATGAGGATATGATAGGCATGTGCAGTCCAATGCGGTTTTCATAGTGTGGTACAAAGTTGCGTGAAGTGAAGCGCGAAGCCGCTCGTCGACATGCCGATACCAGACCAGTGTCACAATGAATGGACCTGCATTCACATTCAAAGAGAGAACTCAATAACCGCGTATCTCACGGGCAGTGACTGGCCGACGAATGAGATACACGCGGACATTGTGGCCCGCATGAATTCGAGACGTGACCTTATAAAGAGAGTCGCGGACATGAAAGAACCATGTCAATGAGGGATGTATGCCACAGGTAGCATGAGCGGACATGGTCGTTCAAGCTCAAGCTCAAGCTCGATCGTGCGGTTGGGCATCCTCCGCACTGGAATGGAAGCTCAGAGCACCGATAACACCAAACCTACAGCCCTGTGGCTCGAGCCACACCTTTACGGGATGGGGTCGAGCGGGATGATGCCTGGGCCCTGCATCCTCGCCTGATCCGTCGCAAAAGAAACGAAAACACCAAGATATCCGAACGCACCCTCAAACGCAGCCCGAATCAATCTCTCCCTATCGGGCACACTAGTGCTCCACGTCTTCGCAGCTTCCAACGTCGCCATCCTAGTGCCAGTGGTCGTTTCCGACGCCTGTCCGCGACGAGGTGTGCGCTAATCCGAGGAAGAAGTTCGGAACGAGTGGTGCTTGTGGCTCCTGTACTCGGTAGCCTAGCCTAGTCCCAGTAATGGCTTGCACGAATGCAGTTAGAAGTCCTCTAGCAGCAGGTGCGGATGCGGAACGAGCTTTGTGGTACAGAGCAGAGAGGTGGGCAATCACACGATGGTGGTCGTCCGAAGACGAAGGGAAGCGAAAGCCGTGACAAGTAGCTAGGAAGAGCCGACTTGAGAGTGTGGGCGCAGGTCGCTAGTACGGTCAAAGATGAACCTAGATAACGAGCATCGCATACCGCGACCACACCGACAATGAATAACACATCCAAGGCAACTATCTCTGCTCAGTCACACGTTCGAGTTCCAGCCCAACGCAAAAGAGACAAATAACGTCGCTCGACTCGCGAGCAAGCGACTACATACATACACACAAACCAAGGTGCCTAGTATGCAGCCACACTAAATACCGGTATTAACAAAGTACTGTCCAAACGGCCTCGGAGCCGTCAGCTGTATGTATGTATGTATGTGTGTAGTACTGTACTCTACGCAACCATGCCGCGCAGACAAGCATCCCAGCGACGTCAATAAGTAGCAGCAGGCAGGCATTTACTTAGCTGCGAGAGAGAGCAGCCCACACGTCGCGTCCGTACAACAACAGCATCCATGCGAACGAGTGGAGAAGGTCAGAAATTGGACGTCATAGTCCGTGGTGCACTAGGTAGACGGTAAGTAAAGTCGGTAGAACAGTCAGCAGTGTAACAGGGAAGGAAGCCTATCCATGAAAATCCGATCAACAGCACAAGCAGTCTACACCGCCGTCAGCGCAGCGAGCAGCGCGCCCACCACAGCCATCCACGCCGTAGGCCGGACAACGCCTTCTGCGCCGCTCGATTTGCTCGACGAGGTCGTAGAAGCAGTCGCCGAGGTCGTAGCCGACGATGCCGACGAGGTGCTATTCTTGCTCGTAGTCGTGCTCGTCGACGAGTTGCTCACCGTCCCGAGGATGACGCTCGCCGCCTGCTCCGCGAGGCCATACACCGGCGCCATGAGATGCGCCGAAAACTCAAACGGGAAAACAGACGCGTCCGCTACGCGCACGTTCGCTGCGCACATCGCATCAGCAACCAAACTCCGACTGCGAAGGCGAAATGCCACTCACTCAGCCCGTACACCAGCAAGTTGCTGTCGACCACACCGCCCTGATCCTCGGGCAGCATCGCGCACGAGCAGCTCGGGTGATACTCCGTGAAGCTGTTGCTCTTGATCCACGCCTCAAGATCGTCGTCTGACGAGATGCTCGTTCCCGGCGACTGCTCCACGCCCAACGCATAGCTCATCGGCGCCGTCTCCCCAATCGTGCGGCACAGGCGAATTCCCTCGCGCAGGACCGTCAAATCTAATGGGTCGGCACGTCGACCAATCAGCCTCAACCATCGCGGAGGCGATAATCAAAGAACCACGCACCAGCAGAGTGGGATAGGTACTGCGGATCGATCGCCGGGTAGTCGAACACGTCAGAGGTGTTGATGTACAGCCGGCCCTGGCTGTGCTCCACAGACGCATACATGACGCAGTGGTGCAGAAAGATGACAACAAAGGGGGGAAACACGCCTTAGTTAGAAGCACGCACTTGCACTCTGGAGCGTATCGGGATACGGGTCCGGCGCAGCGGCTGCCGCTGCGCAGGCCCCTAATCCCGAGGAATATCGTCATCGTCACACTCACCTGAACGGATGCTGCAGCGCTGCTTGGATGCTGATCACCTGCTCATCGCTCTCCCCCGCGCCTGACACGCTAAGCAAAATCTCCATCGCACCGAGGCTGCTCGTAAGGAACTGCGCGGTGGCGTTGTAAATCGCCTTGTAGCCCTCGACGACCTGGCTGTACTGGCTCGGAACGAGCGTCGCCGCGCTCGTGTCGAGCGCCGCGGCGATCTGCTGTGCGTACGTGTCCGCATCGGTGAAGAGCGCGGAGAAGTTGACGTAGGACGTCGCGGAGTTGATGAAGGAAAGGAATGGGTCAGAGACGGTGGGCGTCTACGGGAAAGTCAGCTCGTCATTCGTGTGCGTGCTGCCCAGGGACGCACGGTGGTATAGTTCGCGAAGTAAACGGATGCGCCGGTCGGCAGGGTTGTCTTCCACGTCACCTCGGCATACTGTATGCGTGTAAGCACACAAAGGGATAGAATGAAAAAATGAATATATGCGCACGATATGGTCTTGGAGGTGCTGTCCGACACCCGGAAGTGCGACTTGGACAGGTACACCGGCAGCCTCAAGGACGTCTGCCGGACCCACACCGCTGACCATGAGTATCTGCGGGCTCCCAATCGCGCCCGCGGCCAAGATGACCTCCTTGGTCACACTAACGCTGCTTGCCGTCGCACCCTTTGCGCTCGCATACTCGACGCTCGCGGCGATGAGGCCGCTGCTGCTGTTGCTGAAGTTGATCTTGGTCACGGTCGCGTCCGGGAGAATTGCGAGGTTCGCGCGAGGCGGGAGTGGGTCGATGTATGCGTTGCGGGAGTAGGAGCGCGTCCAGTTGTTCGGGTTGATCGCGGAGGTGGCGATGAATGCACCCCAGCCGTCGCCGCCGTCCGGGTTCGAGGAGACGTCGTAGCCGAGGTTAGCCCAGGTGGTGGTCCAATTGCCGACTGCATCGAACATGCTGCGGCGCAGGCGCGAAGTCAACATGCGTGCGCAACGTAAGATGCGAAGTAACATGGCACGCACTATCCGGGATACGACGCGTGCAGCGGGCCGGTAAAGCCGTGGCTCGAGTTGCTGTACTCGATATGCACGACGTCGTTGACGGCGGTGGTCGCGGGAGTGTAGGTCTCGCTCTGCTTCATGGCGGCGAAGAGGTTGTCCCAGGACCAAGTGGAGCCGCCGTCGATCATGGCCGCCCAGGCGTTCACCTCGAGTTCGGACGGGCGAACGAGGTACATACCATTGATGGCAGAGGAGCCACCGAGGACCTTGCCGCGCGGCCAATAGACCTGGCGGTTGTCGAGGTTGGTCTGCGCGACGGTCTCGTACCCCCAGTCATATGAAGTCTCCGTGAGCGAGTCGTAATACGTGAGCGACGGAATGTCTGCGCGTACGCGGCGGAAGACCGAATTAGGACGGAAGGACGCTTGAAATGGACGACGCACCGATCTGGCTCTGAACTGCCTCGCCAGTGTCGCCTGCCTCTAGGACCAAAACGGAAGTGCTGGAGTTGGCAGAGAGGCGATTCGCGAGGACGAGACCTGCGGTGCCGCCACCGACGATGATGTAGTCGTACGAAGAGCCGATGTCGCCGGTGGTGATGATGTTGCGGCGAAGGAGGGCACGCTGATGGCGTTCGTGGAGGGCATCAAAGTCGATGTGGGTGGCGCGCGCCGAGGCGGCTGTGGCGGTGGCGGCCACAAGAGCGAGCACGAGAGCGGCCCGCATGGTGTTGGTCGTCGTCGTCGGGGAGAGGGAGAGGGCGAGAGAAAGAGCGTCGAGCAGAGAAAGGCGGGGAGGGAGAAAAGATAGAGGGCCCCGGTATATTGATGAGGCTCGCAGGAGCCAGGAACACTGGCGTCATGAGGCAGACCCCATTTTTGTACGCACGACGATGTATCCCCGCCTGCTTCAACGCGTCGCCGTCCCCGAGTCTCGCCATCGACGCGCGCGACCCAGACTCCGCCACCATCCCTTGGCGCCAGCATGCCCATCGCCCACTCTATTTTTGCACCTCGGCCGCCTTCGCTTCCTCATCATCTCTAACCCTCTTCAGGTAAGTATTAATGCCTCCTTACGCACTCGTCTTCCGGTGTCTCCTTGCCGACGTGTGGTGCACTTTAATACGAATTCGTTACCGGCGGGCTGATCTGGAACCTTCACGTTCAGCATGAGCCTTCCACCCCGCTCTCTTGCACTACCTATACCTCGGTCCTCGCCATGCTCTCAGCGCTCGGAGAAACAACCCACCCTCACCTGACGCTGCCGATCGGGCGAAGGCTCCCAGGACCCAGCGTGCCGCCTTGTGTTTTGACGCTCTTTTTTTTTTTTTTTGCAAGGGCGCCATGTACATCAGACAAAGGTCGTCAATTGCAAAAGATATCCACATGCATTTGGCAAAAGCTTGTGGAGATTTGTTGTCTCGTCCAGCGACCATCTTGATCGCGATGCCTTGTTGTTTGATCTCACTCGGTATCCACGATGATGTCACGCGCGCACCACATCCTCCTCGCGCGAGATGGCTATTTTTGCCGCGTGGAGTTATTTACAGACCGCATTGCGGCCTTGTGCGGGTAAGGATCTTCGAGGGTTCAATTGCTTGCCCGCTCTCAGATGTCTATATTTGCTGCATGCAGTCATTTACAGAGTGCACTGCGGCCCTCTGCAGGTAAGCATCTTCGAGGGTTCAGTTGCTTGCCGACTTTCCGTAATCCCGCTATGACAGTACGTACGCACCCAACCCGCAATACGTCAAGCCACTCCAGCCCTCATGCGTGCTCGGCACCGATATCATCAGACTCAGCACGTACCCGGGTTGGCATCAGCCAAATGTGCAGCTAAAATATGGAGTTCATGCCAGATACTCATGCAGAAGAGACGGTTGCTGGAAGCACACGCAGATACGCACGGCTATCAAACGGCTTGCTCAGTGGCGTGTGCATATCATCAGGTTTAGCACCGCAGCGTTTCGCCTGATGATAAGAATGGCCCACATATGCAGTCCTCGTCCGCAATAACCCTCTATGTAGTAGGCTGAAATAATCAAACCCCAATACAATGTCCACCTTCCCGTCTGGCGGACTGCATCCGCTGTTCCACACCACTTGAACTCTAATACACAATCAAATCATAGGTGGTCAGCGCGCTGTTATTGGGGAGATCTCTGCCAGCGTGACAGCGAAGGTGTCTCGCCGTCGCGCGTCTCCGGATTTCGGTCGCTGACTGGTTGCTAAGCAGTAACAGTAATGTGTATCGTCCGCCGGCCATCATGTATGGGTGTCTTGATGATGCGTGTGCGGTTAGTAGCCGAGATGACTCTAATGGCTTAATGACGATTCAATGTGCACCGGTGAGCGGACGTTTGGTTTGACCTTGCCTCACTTTTGAATCGACTTTGGTTACTAACATAAGATATTCTGCTGTGACTCACATCAACGTAAGCCGGCTGCTAGCACGATCGGGTGGCCACCTAAAGTACACTAGGTTGCCCACCGTGATAGGTGCCGATGATCGCCACTCAGTTCAGCTGGAATGAAGACCTTTCGAGGTGTAATACAGTCGCTAGAATTGAAATGGGCCATCTTAGCCAATGCGAACATAACATTGTTAAATAGAGCGCGCTTCCAGCTGAAAGTTAAGCACGTGCCCGGCCGATGGCTACGGCAGCATCAGCAACAGTCTTTCCCCTTTCTCTACTCTCTTCCAGCTTCAGATTGCGTTGCAAGCTCTTTCAAATGTCTCGTTGGCCTTGTATTGGTTCTTTGAGTCCGCTCGAGACTATTTCCGAAAGTCTCAGTACTTATGTGTCGGTCAAATCACCGTCGTTTCTGGACCGAGGAGCACCTTCTCTCCCTCCTTCTATAAGACTCTAAGCTGTGGGCGTAGATAAGAAAGGCGGTGCACTCGACTAGTTTCTTTCGTACATCCTGCTTCATATGCTGTGATGATCGACTGGATCGCACACTCGCTGCACTTTGTCTTCACTGTCCTCAAGTCTCTGGCACATATGCCCTTCCTGCTGCTTGCTCTTCCCCTCGAGCCCTCAAATTCCCGCGCATAACGTCTGCCGTTAATTCTGCAACTCCCCGTATGGTCGACACCTGGGCAACGATTGCCGCGATTCCCGTAAGCACCTCTACCCTTTCTGTTCTTCAATCCATTGCTGGGCTGAACTGTTGAAATTATGAATGCGACGAAGTGCATGTTCATGTACGTCGCGAGCTCGTTGTCCTAGGGTATCGGCCTTTGCAGCGCTTTGATTTCTTTCCCACACCGTCAGCGAAGCATGCTACGCCCACAGACCATCTAGCCTCGCGAGCGGTCATTACCCTACTTGTCGATATTTTCCGAATTCCGCCACGCTTTCAGCCTGTCCGTCCTCCTCGCCTTTGTAAATGTACCGCCCTCGAGGCTTTAAGCGCTTCGGTTACGGTTCCCGATGTGCAACGCGCATGTCCGGTATCAGCTGTTGACTCAGGCTCGGTGGTGCTCCCCGGTCATTCATATTCATCACACGCTCTCACGCAACCACACCAGCTGTCGTTCCCGGTTGCATATGTACAAAGGAGGAGATACGCATGTTGCGGATCCTATCGTTTGCTCCCATGGAATGGCATTACCCTGCCTATAGCGGTTACTCACGGTCTTCTTGGGACCGACTGACCATGCGTACTTGATATCTTACAGGGCCGGCGTTTACAAAACCCCGTAATGTGATAGCTCATGTTCCCCAAGCGCCGCGGTCCCTGAAGGTCGTTGCTGATAGCTCGGATTTGGAAGCGACAATCATACCCTGGTTCTCGTCGATTTGAGATACAGGTGCCCCTTTTCATTTAAGATTTCAACTCTAAGACGACTTTGGAACAGGTCTGCCTATTCACTTGTGGAACAGGAGGAGCTTGGATCTCCAGTAAGTTGGGAGCCATCTGTTCATATGCGCCACCGCCGTGCGACCAATTTCTGTCGACCAGGCATCGTCAGGTCCACCTTGCCGACTTTCAGATCGAGCAAGTATATCGCCGTGACAAGGTCTACTCATACGCCAGCGCTACCATCGTCACGTTCGATCTTCTCTTCGCGCAGCTTTTCGCTAGCAAATACCCCGCGTACATCACTCGCGCTTCCCTCCTTGGAGCGGACAAATTCTTAGTGGCCGCTTGTCATCCACGCTCCTTCGCCACCGTCATATCGCAATCCGGCGGAGCTTCTCGCCCGTTCTCGCCCTCGGTGCTTTCCATGCTTTCTTGGGGCTCCGATACTCTGGTTCTACAGCCACAATCCATCAGACCGCGTGAGCCGGCTTTGACAGTTTTTCGATTGTCTCAGAGCTGAACGATCCTGGTCGCCAGCTTTCATTCTACTCTCAAGCCTGAAGACCAGTCAGTTTCTGCACAGGCAGCGACATGATCTAGCCATGCAATTTTTGCCCAGCTGTTCATGTCTAGGACCTCTCAGATGCTCTCAGCAGAAAACCTCTCAAATGTTTTGCGACCCAACTAGAGGGATGAGATGCTGATCCAGGCTGCTTTATTTCATCTGTAATTTTAGACAAAGACGTGGTTTTCAGTGCGGATTGTTCATGCCAAGCGCTTGGCCTTCATCGGACAATTTTGGGGCCGAGCCGGAGCAAAGTGCTCGAGACACAAAGGCTTGGGACACCATTCTCTGTGGTGTCTATAGCAGCGCAGTGCTGACGCGTCATATGTTCCTCGGTGCGTCTCTCGCGCTCGTGTCATGCGCTGCTCATCATGGCAGGGCACTCTGAGTGGGGTAGATTCAGTATTGCTGCAATCTAACCACACAGAATAGAGCGTCATCCTCGCAGTTGGAAATACAACTTATTGATCTCTTGTGGGGTCGTAGCCCAGGGCAAATAACGCAGGTGGCCTATCTCTCGTGATCCTTGGCTTCCCCCGCGCTTCCAGGACCACCGTGGGCTCGTTTTGGCCGGGAGATGATAAGTCCTAGATCAAGGGGATGTTCGTCGGAAGAAGTGGTGATCGGAGAAAATTGTGTTTGACATTTCACAGCTCACCTATTACCTCATTGTGGCCAAACGTGCGTGGTGGGGTCATCGCGAAGGTCATTATTCGTATTTCGAGGTGCATTTTCACCATGCGTGTCTGACATGCTGCTTCAAGTGGTTCGACCACAATGTCCGCTCCTCGTTCTCGAAGCAACGAGGCCGGTCCAGTGCAAGTTCTTCCCGCATTGCTCCGGCGGCGCATTGACAGCTGACTGCCATCTCCGATTTTGATCAGTCGTCAAGCGTTTCCTCCCACCTGTGTTCCGGAAAGCTCTCGTCCTAGGCGGTACGTACTCGCTTTACCATTTCCCTGAATCCGAGCTATTCCGTCAAGCCTTCACCGCGAGTGTATGGTGCATTGCTTTGCGTGCAAAAGAAATGTCCAAGTGTGCTTCGAACGTCCATGAGTGCCAGACATGAAGCGTCAAATAGAATGAACTACTGCGATCCGTTCATTATTCAGGGACAAAGCATTCATGTGCCGCCACTATCACGCGGTGTCGAGACCCGTGAACGTGCAAAAGAACAATATGTTCCGGCCGCTCAGGATGTTGGCGAGACGTGCGAGACCATGACTTGGCATTGATCGGTCATTTCTGTGTTCCGAACGGCTGTCCCTGTATTGAACCGAGGAAGCACTTCGATGCCTCAATAAGCCCCTGCACTTTATGCATTGTGGCCAAGGGGATCTCTTGATATGTGCAATCACTTGCTGGATACATGCTGCCTCAAGCCATAGCACTGAGACAATGTTTCCGAGATTCATTCGAAATAGTTCCAGCGGCGGCCCTTTCATAGGTTTGATCAGCCCCTTTTCCTAGGCGCACGTACCTTGAATGGAAGCTTCTTATAATTTAAAAGGCCCTTGTGCTTCAATTTCTTGTGAGTGGTCTGCTACCGCATGGAGGCTCATTCTGTTTTTGCGCGCTGGCGCTGCGGTCTCTCGCAACATTGTCATGCGTATGCACAGCTGCATGAGTGGTTTGAACTGGCGGCGTCTTGGCTGGACCGTTTCGGTTTACTTCTCGCGTAAATGCCTTGCAGCACGATAATACGCGGCATTATACCGTTGCCGCCATGAATGCATGCGAAAATCAGGACGTCCAAAGTCAAAGCTTCAAGAAGATTCAGTGGCTGTGCGGCACAAGGCAACTTTTGACGATCGGTAGAGAAGTAGTGCATAATCGACAGTACGATGTTGTAGTAGCGTGTACTTATATTACTGCTTTCCACAATCTAGGATGGCCGAATCTGCCCCAAATGATAAAATGTGGAACGGGGGATTGCCAACGTACCCACTCTTGTGCGTCAAGTCTGCAAGGTTCTATTGGATGTCATCATCGGGACGTAGAAGCACAGCTTGTGATGCATCGTTTGCAAATTCCACTGGACACCAGAACCACTGATACATTGGAGTCTGACACCGCAGACATGAAGCGATTTGCGCATGTGGCAAATGCTTAGCAAATGTCGACAGGTTTTTTGCCTTTGTGATCTCAATTTGCTACAGTTCCTTCCCACATTCCATATTAAGTATTTGCATAATAATATGTTAGAGGTAGAAATTTAAAATCATATATTTTAAGAAATGACACCATTTTCAAACTCACCAAATACATTTAGAATTTGAGTGCTGTTGAATGTAATCATACATTTTTGAATTTCAAACTATGACATGTATAAAATATCCAGTAGCAGATGAAGGTGTAATTACGGTGAATGACTTTCATTCTAGTAATCTTGGCTAGAATGACTTCAGTAGGGAAGTAGAGTGTAGGCATAATCACACCTTCATCTGCTACTGGATATTTTATACATGTCATAGTTTGAAATTCAAAAATGTATGATTACATTCAACAGCACTCAAATTCTAAATGTATTTGGTGAGTTTGAAAATGGTGTCATTTCTTAAATATATGATATTAAATTTCTGCCTCCAACATATTATATGCAAATACTTAATACGGAATGTGGGAAGGAACCGTAGCAAATTGAGATCACAAAGGCAAAAAACCTGTCAACATTTGCTAAGCATTTGCCACATGCGCAAATCGCTTCATGTCTGCGGTGTGATTAGTAACTCAAACGCAATGCTGACTAAGCGAGCTTCTGCTTCTCATTCGCCTTTTGGCGCATGAACATTGAATCAGATTGAATCACCACCTATCGAACGTTGAACGTTGAACGTTGAACGTTGCGCCGTCAAAATCGTGCGTCCTAAACACCATACGAGTTGGCGTCCTCACAAGCGTGAGCTTACACTGCGAAGGTTAACGCTGGTAAATCGCCGTTTATACTCACCACTTACCTTTTGTATCTCAATTTTTAATCCAACTAGAACGCTCCACTTCTCCACTGCTGTGGATGCACCGTAAGCCTATCGGATTTCGAAAGAGAGAAGATTGCACTGATGTTGCTTGGCTTGCGCCACGTGATCAGGTGGGCTCCGCGAAATTTTTATACTGTGTCGGCATTCCACCTTCTATATGAGGAGCCCACCGGTCCTATGCAACTCCTCGGTCCATCTTTGTTTACGCCGTTGGAGCTTCATTGAAGATCCGGAGAAGCTACTATACTGCCAATCTTGAACACTCAGCAAAGCATTCATCTTAAAAGGAACCTTTGAACTCACGCGCGTTTTGATGTGCCTTCGGTTATAGGCAAGGCGATATGTCTATGTGGGTCTCGCGCGATTACTGGCAGGTGATTTACGTCCAGCTTCAGAGGCTCTAAACGCCATTCTGCTGTTACTTACAGTACTTGGAAAATCGTTCACCGAATGAAGCACTATGATGACGAGCCACCGACGTGCCATTCGTGTTGCGATGCGGTTCTACATGTCGATGCAGGTCAGATACGTCAGCGTCCCATTTACCGTCAGCATACTCAAATTGCATCCCAGTGCGTGCACTTCGCTGCATGCGCTTGTTACTACGACTACTAAAAAGGCGGCTAACTGTGCGACCGATATCGGAAAATGCTGTCTATGTACCGCCATGGGGCTCGTTGTGAGTCATATCACAATCACCCTTCCAACTCCCTCCACGTTGCCTGTCGTCTTCATCGGACCACAGAAGACGCTGTACGATGCTGTCATTGCGCCATGTTTTACGGCTTGCTGGCCCGTCGGCGCCCATATACGTGCCCACGAGGGCCCTTCACTGCGTCTCCACGTATAACACTTGCTTTTTAGTGTCCGACTTTGGCGCTAATAGGTCTGGCAGCAATTTGGCTCCAGGCGTACAGGTTCGTCCGAAGAAGCCCCGTCTCTGCTCCCATTGCCTTCAGCGGAGTAGTTCTTTGAGCTCCATCTGAAATGGTTATCACAGTGAGCGACTCCGTACATGTGAAGATGATCAATTATATTATCATCGTGTGTGTGGAGACTTTTACCAGGTAGGTTGACTTCTGTGGTCAAATTGTGGTTCCAACACACGCTGCAGCCGCATGCCGAAGCTTCTATTGGACATCGACTTGTAACCTGGTCTAATGACTGCATTATTTGTAGGTTTCAGACGCGAGGCTGCTTTGCAAGAGCGTCACGAGCAGCATACAATGCACTCCATCGTCTTCGCATTGCCGTCTTTCACAATCGCGGGTGTCAATCGTATGTCTTGTGCCATAAATATTGATGGTTCCGTGGCCTTGCTTGTACCGCGACTCTTAGACCAAGCTTCGTGGAGCATATCGTGGAGCTCTTCCATTGCGACATGTCACAGTTGTTCGGCTATCCAGGAGCGCCCTTGACGTGAAGCACGTCTGTCAACGTTTCATGGTCCACCCGAAAATAGCGAATAGCTACAGCTTTGTATCCCATCTGTACTACGGTCACGGCAATTTTTCGCTGAAGTTTATGGTGCGTTCGTCATTTCATTTGACGGGCTTTCGTGCGATATTCATATTATATTTACTTCGTCAGCCATATCATTCAGCTGCTGGACAGATAATACTTGCTATCACGATCGATACGCATGCTGATCACTGGTGACAGCATGAATGCATTGTGGACCATTCCTCGTTTCACAGACCACTTAACGCGTTTCCAGGGGCTTGGTTCTAGAGCGTCATTAACATACTAGTAGATTCGCTGGCTAGCGAGAACGTTGCTCCCTGGAACGTTCACTAATTCGGTACGATCCACGCACTCATGGATGTTGCACTAACGAGATTGGTCCATATCGAGCATCTTTTGTCCTAGGATAGTGCGAGGACCGAACATCTGGTGATCAATTTAGATAGGACTATACGTCGAACCGGCACCGTTTCTGTCTGGTCCTGAAGCAATAAGCGGCTACCCTGAAATCGAAACGTCTAGAGGTAACGTGAATATCGTAATCAGAAACTCAGTGTGTTGCAAGGTCGTAAACTAACATTTTACTACAGTTATTGGCAAGTTCTAATGCTGAAACACCGCAACACATTGAAGTCGTCATCCGCGGCGTTCTGGAGAAACCGATTGCTATGATAGAATGCAAAGATGGGCTCGCATTTTGCTGCTGACGCATATAGCCCAAGTAAGGCATGGTGATAACCATCTTGGCGCGGAATGATCCGATTGCTAATCGGAGATATCTGCATCGTCTCAAAGAATGCTGTGGATTGCACAGCGAAAACAATGAATAAATCGATATCTGCTGTCACCACTTCTGCGCCACGATCAGCGAATCTCCCACTCTTGTATCCGTACAAGACCAACGTGCACGTTCACATTGCGAGACAAGCTGACCAATGATCCTCGTGCGATTGTTCCGGAGAAAATACGAGAGATATCTGGAGTGAGGACCACATATCTCACGCAGAGACATAAGCATATCCGTCAGAATGAAGGATCATGGCGTCGATATCTGGGGAGTGATCAACTTTAATTAGTCCCCCGGCTGTTACATGTGCCATCGTCCGAGCCGTAGGCTGGGTGCGATGAGCAATTCTTGAGCATGAGATATATAAAGAACGGACGCGGGGTGGATCGCGCACAGATCGCCTCGCCTCTACCGTAGAAAGCAGGTGATCCTAGGTCAATTTGACATTGGACTACAGAATGTATCGCAGTGACAACTCCTGCCTGCGTCTTCATTTCACGCCAGTAACGAGCGGGGCTAGAAGGGTTCCCCGCGTCCCGCAGGAGATGGTCGACATGGTCATTGACGAACTTGGTCGCACGTATCAGCGCTCAGCGTTGGCCGCGTGCTCACTCACCTGCCGGGATTGGCTCCCACGCAGCAAAATTCACATCCATTCCTCCGTCCGCATCGACTCTTGCAGTAACATCGAACGTCTCACCAAGCTCTACGACTCTCACCTCGCTCGATACGTTCGCAGCCTCAGCATCGATGCCTGTGTCGATGGCGAGCCCGCCGCTCATCCGTGGACTGACAATGCACGTCCCCTCCTCCGCCTCTTCCCCAACGTCGACAGGCTCGCGCTGGATGCCATCATCTGGCAGGATCTTCACAAGGACACGCAGAAGATCATCCTCGAGCAATATCCATCGGTATCAGACTTGTGGGCCTCCACCTGCGACTTTGCTGACCCTTGCGAATTCGTAAAGCTCTTGCAAGCGTTCCCGAAGCTCGAGAGCGTCCGTTTGGAGGGGATGTGTTGGGACACGTCGGAGTGCGAGAAGCAACTCGCTAACAACGGTCCTGAGCTCCGTCTCAAGTGGCTCGATGTCAACGAACTGTGCAAGCATCCGAGCGTTGTGGCCAAGTGGGCCTCACGCTACCGCACGAGCGTACAGATCGAGAATATCCACTTTTCCTTGGGGTGCGATCATCCCCGCGAGCTTGATAACCTCCTTCAGCTTGCTGGTTCCTCAGTCAAGACGCTCTCGCTCGGGTTTTTTGCATGCACGCGAAGCTTCACGCACATGTCCATGACGTTGCACCCCTTTCTGAATCTGAAGTACAACACATCATTGCAGTCGCTGCGCCTGTCCTTGCGCTTGGAATCTCACGATCAAGTCGACATGTCGTGGTTTCCGGAAATTCTATCGCAGCTGAACTCCAATCACCTCACGCAGGTGACATTCTACGTCGAGATTTTGTTCTGTCAGCAACTTGAATGGATCGATTGGAACGAGGTAGATGAATTCTTATCTCAACCGAAATTGAAGGGCTTGATGAGGGTTGAGCTGTGTCTCTGGAGGAGGAGCTCACATGCCAACTTCGATGACAACGATCATGATATTCCCATCAAGTTCAAAAAGCATCTTCCTAAATTGCAGGAACATGGAATCTTATATCTTTCACAGCAGTTTAACTAGCATCATGGCCCTGTAAGGAGGCTTGACATTGACCTGAATGTCTGCCTGACTAGAGGGCCGCAGAAGTGGATGCAGTCCTGCTGGCAGGACTGCTGCATATGTCTAGATTATTCACGGAGTACAATTGCTTACTAGCTCCTGTTTGAAGATGCTACTGCACTTATATCTGTCAAATCATTATTTGTTTCAGCTGTCATTAGCTGAGGCCAAGATCTTCTGCTTTCTCACCTCATAATATGTTTTCAAGTGTAGAGGTGTGATGTCAAGGTTATGACAGTCCTGAAACAGGACTTTGCACTTGAATGGTTGCTGCCAAGCCTTGCAGGACTCCTATGACTGTCTGTCCTGAATGCTATGAGGTTCTAAAGTTCTGAATGTTTATGTGACACACCAGCTTAGGATGGAGTGGACATAATTGATTGTCATTGAGATAGACAAACCTAAGATAAGATGGTGATGATGGTTCAAACAAATTTGCTACAACAAGACCCTTTTGTTAATTGCAGCTTCTGGTATGCCAGCCCACCACTTTATGCCTTCACGATCAAGATGTGTCCCACTATGCTGCTCACTATCCACACTGAGCATCAAGACCTGAGTTTTAGAGCTGAATAGACACCTTTTGAAATGCATTGTTTGACAGCCTCCAGGGCCAAGGTGGAGCAGTTTCTGACCAACATAGTTTCAGACCTCACAATCAACTCGAGCTGTGCATTAATCTAGTTACCCATCAGTCACGCTCAGTATCCACTCCACATGTTGTTCTGCAATAGAAGTACGCTATTGCGATGCGACGCTCCCACAAGCGGGATGTTGTACGTCCGTGAACAGTCAGCATTATATCACATAGGTTGATTTACGGGTGATTCAAAGTTTTGTTTTACTGCTACCTGACGGCATGGCGACCTGCGTTCTTGTTCTTCCCAGTCCTATCACGCAATGACCGACATGTAGCTGCGGTTTCCACGTAGCTTTTCAGATCTAAAACCACATTCCTGCGTCCTGCTTCCTCAGCAGGCTTCGCGGACGTCCCCTCCACCCCTTTGGCCTTGACATGCCTAATAAGCTGCCTATCATCAACATGAAGAAGTCGCAGGTCGCTCTTTTTGAGAAGATCAATCGAATGTTTTCTAGAATTCTGTGACCACAGTGGTCAGGTACACGCACGCGAAGCCGCGGCATAGACTTCTTACTGGTAACTTTGGGTGAGCCTCCGTCGTGGCGGCCTGAGAGCCATGCTCGCTGGATGTCTATTACTTCGATTGGATGCAATGAGGCCCGTCCGGCATGATCTTCTCATTTGATCCACTTCGTAACCCCATGACAGGAGGCTTGAAAGTGTGTTGCCGGGGCTTCTGGTGACGCCGTGCGTGGTGTCCATTAGTACCGGTTGTCGGGAGCCCGGAGAACGCTCTGCGATCCGATAAACTTTCCCGCTCATCTGCACTTGCTCTCTCTGGCGGGGCTTTCAGGTTCGTAAATTTTTCTGCTTGTATACCAATTATGAGGAAGCCGTTCCTGTGCAGCCCGTGAGTTGGGCCTCCCATGTATACATCATCTTATGAGCCATGCCACGTTGAAGGGGCTATCGATCGATCTCTATTCTTCTCTGCGACTCCAAATTCGCGCGGCAGAACCGCTATCTTCAAAGTTAGATCACTGTGGCATCGATACCGTTCAGAGTTTGATAGATAGAATGTGTCCACTTGCCCACGAGCCTCCTTCTATCCGACTAAGCGGAAGCTACCTCTCTACGACGAGGAGAAGGCGTCCGTTATCGATGAATGTCAACAATCTCGACCATCTGGGCGGCATCTTAACCCACACAATGCCACCACGAGGGATAAAGTGCGCTCTCACCGATTGCATACCGTTCGTTGCCATGCGTGAAGAAGGGAAGGTTGACGTACGCATCTTCTGACAGAAGCGTCTGTTCTCGTCACCACGGCTGGTTGACGACTGTGGTCCACCTCTATTGAGCATTGCGCCGGCGACTCTCGCCACGGGATTTAGCATGCATTAGAATCGCGGGTCACAAGGCTTGTTGTTGTGCAACCATGCTTCGAAAAGAGTAAGACAGCAATTTGTAGCTCTGCGCTCTTCCCCAGTGCCGCGAGTACATGTATCAACGCGGGAGTGACGTCAGCTTGGAAGAAGGCTCTTCACCACGTCTGCATCAAACCAGCCGGCGTTCAATCTAATTTCGGTACTTTTCTTGAACATTCGTGCAAGGTAAATGTAATACTCTACTGCTTTTCTTGCATGCGTTTGTTTTTTTCCCGTTGTTTTTCGCCTACACTGGCATGTCACGGAAGTGTTAGTTAGCCGACCTCTGCCTACCGAAAGACATCCTTCATGCAATGGTATTGTGACATTCAGCATCCGCACAGATTTTTGCGTTGGTTTGATGTAAACCTTTGTCCAGAGTTCGCAAATTTTTTGTCGCTGTTTTCCTGTTGAGCGGGCTTCACCCAACGTTGGTTGACATGTGACACCTTGTGACACCGTAGATTGTGGCAGTGCCCGGCGGCAAGGGCTCCAGGCTTCTAGTCCACTTAACCTTTGTAGCTTGGAGCTTCGAGACTTCAGTTTGCTTGACAGGTTTTCGCAAAATGGCTCCTCAAATTTCAAAGTTCAACATGCTCGCTGCGCAGGTCTTTTATGACTTGGCAGTTTCTCGATCTGTCCGACCCTTTTCCCCGAGTACGCATTACATGCCACAAAATTGCCTTTTTTCGGGCCTAGATCGCGGGCACCCGGTAGATTCTCCATAATATGCCATCTACTTTCCGGGAAGATACTCCACTCTTGCTACGCTCCTCTGTACCGCTTCTTGCTGCTGCGGCCTGATGTCCGGCGACGATGGCCAAGGCGGGAGGCGCATCGTGATATTGTTCCGTGTCTCAGGCACCCTGGAAGTTTTTGGCCACTCATTCAGGGGCCACTTTCTGTTTCACAGTATTGTTATAGATCATTTGACATGGTAGGTTTTTCATCTGAAACTCAAATTACGGCTTAAAGCCTGCCCGGCATCATCGACCTTTTTTGTTGATGTACGAGTGCAGTCCATCGCTCAGGCACGTTGCCAAGCTGAACTGCGTTCTCAAACTCTTGCGGCCCTAGAACGGTGTTCATGCGTTGCAGCAAGCTGCTCGGAAAGGCCACCACGTGAGCCTCTCAGGTCTTTTCTAGCTTCATTGCTGACCCTGTAACAAGTATGCCGCAGGTTTCTCACCAAGCGCATGTGTTCTTGAGTATATGTTTGGTTCAAAAGGTCGCAATGCCACCTGCGATTGTACCTGAGAATGTGGCGCTTTGAACGGCACAGAATCACGTTGACATGGTATCAGCCGAGCAGAACAGGCAGAAAAAATGTAAGTTTGCTTGTTGGCGTGTTTTCATTAGTCATCTCTGTTCTCCTCTTTGAAACGGATGGTACCAATGCCGTGTTTAAATCATCAACGTCATGCTCCAAGTTTCAAGTGCCAGGCATTTTATTTTTGGCTCAGTTCAATTATTGAGCCCTCGCGAAGGTCTTTGGACACCGTCGAGGCCATTTGCTGCGCATTTGATGCGCTATATGGCACAAAATAATCCTTCTCTCGGTCAATGGCACAGTTTTCCGCCTTAGAACCGTCGCGTCAATTAAAACTACAAAGTTTCTGCAACGGATGTCTATGGCTGACGAAGAATTATAGAACGCGTCAGGCCGCAATCTTTGAGCATACAGCACCTCGCTCCCACGCATTTCCGGCCATCCCGTGAAACGGAACACAGATGAGCCTCCAGAGAGATCAGGATATACATACAAGTACGCGCAGCTCGAAACCACAATTCGGTCCCGATACCACATCGGAATGGACTTGACTTTATTGATCAAGGGTCTCGCGGGGAAGCCGGTTTTAGCGTAACTTTTCATGTCTCGGTAAAGTGGCGCTGTGGCTCATACTCCGCTCCGCTCTTCGGACCCAATTGACTGGCACATCAGCCTTGCATCGCAGAATTTCTCCATCATCAACATTAGCGGCGAGCCACTGAGTTCGCATCGATTATCGCCACAGGATCAAGTTCCATTGCTTTCGAGAAAAGTCGGCGGAGTACAAGTAAATTGTCACGCGCTCCACTGAACCACATCTGCATTTTTATTACTACCACAGAAGCCAAGAGGTGGGCTCTGAGTCTCTGTTCATTGTGTCGTGACCCTCTACGGTCCTTCTTTTCGGGTTTTTGTTGCGAGTCATTCCAAATACGTTTCATAATATCCGTTTTGTTCTGTGCCTTGCCGGCATTGTCGTTTTTTCAAACACGTTGTTTTCCACCTTGTGGTGTCAAACCCTCCTCGATGACCGCTGACTGACATGATCCATGCCGAAATGTACCACACACATGCTGCAGGTGACATGAAATACTAGCGCGTTTACTTTCTCGGGTAGCGGCTATGTCGCGTTTGTCGGAATGCTTCCAATCGTTCGTGTCAACACGTCTGCTGGTGGCATGACGTGTGCGAGTCTGCTAGAACCCGTTCCTTGCAACGTTAATTGCTCGTACATTTAACTGCAGCCCAAGCCTAATACTACACGACATTAAGTCACGGAGTATGACCAGAACGTGATGTTTTAGGCCCAGGTTTTGATCGAGTCCCTTCAGACAAACTGGCTTAGAAATGCCGAAGCTACCGTGTCAATCGATCAAGGCTTTTTGAAATATAGCCGTAACTGCACAGCATTGAAGCATATTCTGGACTGCCTATTTTCCCATTTGCTCTCACATATTGTGATCCTGAGTAAGAGGCCACTGGCAGTCGCGAGAAAACGAACGAACTCGAACGAACCGCGCTTGAGAGACTTAGTAATCTTTTACATGGCACGAGACACGCTCTCTCGACAGCCGCCTGGATCCTCGACGGGCTCGTTCCGATTCGCGGATCGAAAGAAACGCTTTTGTCACTTCTAAAGTGGACATGGTTGCCATTTTCGTGCGCTTCAAGGGATGCGCATCGATCATCGGAGTCCTTACTGTATCCACTCACTTCTCCACCGATGTATATGGAGAGAGCAGCTAGTGCTATCGAAACAGACACTTCTCGTGATTGCGCTACTAGCGCTGATCACAAATGACACACGCTCGCGAAAGTTCAAAGGACCTACTTCTCTGTCAAGTCAAGTACGTATAGTGGCAACACGGCTCCTGTATCCGGAACTCTTAGTTCGGTTTATGACCGCCTCGGCCGCTGTTGTGGACCACAATGCCCACACTCTCCGGACGGAGCGCGATAACCATTCTAGTTAATATTAGTAGTCTTGACCGGACCGAGAGCACTTACCATCCCAATTAAATCCACAGGTCGCTACGCCCGGCGCCGTTGTGGTCGCGCGCTTTTCCGACAAGGGATAGACGCATTATCAAGAATCGAGATAGATGAGAGTCACTATGTCTGCAAAGAGAAAATATCCAAGGGTGGAGATATATAGCTATGACCACCAGGAGGTGCGATGAGGCACTCGCACTGTTGGACACCTCGAGGTTCAAAATGCTGTGCTGTCTGGAGCCAGGCGGAAGATTTTGAGCGCGGTATTGAAGGAAGCTTCAGCGGGTAACGCCGTGCGTCTCAAAACACGCTGTACATTCAAGCGCTAGCGCTCAGCGGTTACCTGTCACTGGTCACATCAGATAGAGATCTCTAGCTACCACACTGAATACGTTACCTGCAACATTTGTTGGTTGACGGTCTGGTCTGTATAGTGTAGTAATAAAAAATTATAGATTTCCTGCATGACAGCGCGTCTCATAGATTGCACACGGCGTTGTGCCCTCGACCACTCCGCTCTATACAACATACTTTGAGGACCCACGAGATAGATCTGAGAAAACAGGGAATCTGTATAAAAAGGTCGAAGGCTTCGGTCTAATCTCTGCCAGATCCCCCCTTCCCCCGTAAACTTAGCCACAGGTGACTTTCTACCAAATGAGGTCGACGTTCCATCATGCCTGACTTTGCGGAGAATCGCAGAAGTTATCGTCGCTATCTCATCCGTTCACGTCCTATGCCAGTAACGAGCGGGGCCGGGAGGACAACCCGCGTCCCGCAGGAGATGGTCGACATGGTCATTGACGAACTTGGTCGCACGTATCAGCGCTCAGCGTTGGCCGCGTGCTCACTCACCTGCCGGGATTGGCTCCCACGCAGCAGAATTCACATCCATTCCTCCGTCCGCATCGACTCTTGCAGTAACATCGAACGCCTCACCAAGCTCTACGACTCTCACCTCGCTCGATACGTTCGCAGCCTCAGCATCGATGCCTGTGTCGATGGCGAGCCCGTGTCTCATCCCTGGGTCGACAACGCGCGTCCCCTCCTCAGCCTCTTCCACAACGTTGACAGGCTCGCGCTGGATGCCATCATCTGGCAGGATCTTCACAAGGACACGCAGAAGACCATCCTCGAGCGGTATTCATCGGTGTCGGACTTGTGGGCGTCCACCTGCGACTTTGCTGACCCTTGCGAGTTCGTAAAGCTCTTGCAAGCATTCCCGAAGCTCGAGAGCGTCCGTATGGAGGGGATGTGTTGGGACACGTCGGAGTGCGAGAAGCAACTCGCTAACAACGGTCCTGAGCTCCGTCTCAAGTGGCTCGATGTCAACGAACTGTGTAGCTATCCAAGCGTTGTGGCCAAGTGGGCCTCACGCCACCGCACGTCCGTTCAGATCGAGAACATCCACTTCTCCTGGGGCTGCGACAATCCAGGCGATCTCGACATGCTCCTTCAGCTCGCCGGCCCTTCAGTCAAGACGCTCTCGCTCAATCTATCTGATCACACCCAAGGGTCGATGTCCCCGTCAGGTATGTTAGCTCCATCATGGTGCAGAGTAAAGTTCAAACTGACGCCACGACGCCACATGACAGGTTCGATGCAGCCTTTTCTGAATCTGAAGAACAACACATCGCTGCAGACCCTGCGCCTGTCCTTGCGCCTCGAATCTCCCATCCAGGTCGACATGTCGTGGTTTTCGGAAATCCTGTCACAGTTGAACGCCACTCGCCTCACGACGGTGACCTTCTACGTCGAGATGCTGTTCTGCCAGCAACTCGGATGGGTCAAATGGACCGAGATAGACGAGTTCCTCTCGAACCCGAAATTGAAGGTTTTGACGAAGGTCGAGCTGTCGCTCTGGAGGAGGAGCACGCCCTCCTGCTTTGATAACAAGGATGTCGATGTCCCCGCGAAGTTCAAAGAACATTTACCCAAGTTACATGAACGCAAGATCTTTTTTCTCTCACAAAACTTCAACTAACGCAGGCTTGCGGCCCTGTTGAGAGCCCTGACATTCACAGTGTTCGGCTTCCAGGAGGGCCAGAGGCGGCTTGTTCTGCCGCCTTCAAATTTGCGTGATTGCAAGTCTCATACACGACTTTACTAAAGAAAAGAAAAAAAGGTCGTTCAGGACGTGTATTCTGTTGTTCTGGTTTTTTCTTCCTTTCAACATTCAATGCCTGCTTGGAGGGCTTATGTGCGCATGCATACCAGGCCCTGTTCGGAGGCCTTGTCAAATCAAATACCCAAAGTTGATTATCTTGATATGGCTCGCCATCCATTTTCTCCATCACTAGTAGCTTGTCCTAGGGAGATGCTTTTAGCTGAATGAGTTATTATCTTGCCTTTTAGTTCCAGCTGGCTTCCGTGTTTGATCGGATCTGTGGTCACAATGTCATTCAGGTAAGTCGCGCTCACCGCTCACCACGCGCGGTATCCGCACGACATGAGCGACCTGTGGTTCAGGCGTGATCGGGTCTAGTTTGAACCCAAGCCTGCACCGCATGCAATCGGTCCTTAATGTGTCAAATCGGATTGTACATGTGTTCTTGTGGGTCCATGGTGGCATGGTGGGAAGGTGTCTCGTAGGCGCGAGGCAGCCATTTTCGCCATATATGAATTAGCTCCTGTGGCGACACAACGCACATCATGCAACACGCCATGTCCAAAACGTTCGAACGTCTAGCCAACAGGCCAACTCATAGAGGGTGAACGCGCGGAATGGACATGTATAACGGTGCATACTTGTGAACATGGCTAATATGGCGTGCAAGATAATCTAACTTACATATCTATAAGTACATCCGAGAGGGGAGGAAAGGGATTCCTATCATGGCAAATGCGACGTTTTCACAGCGTACGAGACTGGACGACGGTTCAAAGGTGCGCCTGAACTGGAGGCGCAGGGGCCAAAGTAGGCGGCGAGGAGATCAGCGAGAGTTCGGCGTTGCCCTTGAACACGGGCAGTTCGTTGATGAATGCCGTCCAGCTTTCTTCAGTGAGGATGGGCGACGTGGCGTACGGCTCTGCGCCCGTCTTTGCGAGGTACTCCTCGAGATGGGGCATCGCAGCACTCAGCGCCTTGTCCTCCATCTCGAACTGCGCCCATCGGGGGAGATTTGCGCGTTCGACGTACCAAGCAGAGTCGAACAGGACGATCTCGGACTCATACAAATCCACCAGTGGCCTGTCGACGCCACCGTCGAGAGCCGACTCGTACGCCATGCGGTGTCCCATGGCTTGCACCAGAGGCAGGCAGCGAGGGAGAAGCAGCCGGGAGAGACTCTCATGGCGATGATTGCCGCCGACCTTCTCGAGAAGAGCACGGCATTCGGCGAATAAGCCCATCTCGTGTCGGGCCAGAAGGCAGTCCGGGTGCTTTGGCGTTGGCATGGAATAGCGGCCCAGCAGAAGCTCGTTCGCGAGACCTGTGTGTTCTCGTGAGAAGATAAAAGGTGATCGTTACTGGGCGACCACTTACGAATGCTCAGCGCGAGGACATCGCCTTCCGCAATTCTGATACCTCGCATCAGCAACTATGATGATAGCCCGGATGTCAACATCTATATCCAGCTGCATCACGGTCAGGGCGCACCTCGGATTGCAGGACACTGTTGTGCTCAAAGACACCATGCGCCCCGATCCGTTCAGAAAGTATGGCGAGACTTGACCATGCATGTTGGGTCATGGATGCCTTGGCCGCAGCCGCGACGCCGCTCCGCACGCGGTGGTCAATCGACGTATCCTTGTAGATCGCAGCCCCGGCCTTCGCATGGGCCCGGATAACCGCTGCCTGTGCGATAGCTTGCATAATCGGGAGTTGTTGCGTGCGGAAGCTCATGATAGGTACGCGGACGCCGTCGGAGCCGGTCACCGTCCGACGGAGGCTGTAACGCGCAGCTACGTAGGCGTTGACGGAGAGGAGCGGCACAGCCATGGCTGCCAGTGCAAGGGAACCTACGGAGACGCGCCAGATGCAGGAGATGAAGTTGTCCCGGAGATTCCTTGGTTTCTCAAGGGAGCCCAGAAGGGCCGTCGAGGGGAGCCTCACATGATCGAAGGACGTAACGGCATGATCGACCGGTTTGATACCCCCACGCTGCGGCAACAATCTGGAGTGGGTGAGTCTATGCACTGTGCCGCTCAGGAGATCGCGTACTTCACTGTGACCCCCTTACACGTCTGCTTTCCGTCACCCAGCGCGACGATGAAAGGACGGATGCCTCGGTTCTCGCCATCCGCGACCAGTTTGGCGAATACGACTGCCACTCGAGGAATAGCGCCAAACGGGCCAGTTGGTGGCATGTATCTGAGATGCATATTAGCGGAAGATATGGTATAGCAAGAGTTGTGCCTTACTTCCGTGCTCCGTCGTGTGGCGTATGGAGATCAAACTCTCCATTAGGCAGCAATGTGGCGGTCGTCTCCAGGTTCGGAGCATCAAGTCCGTGGGCTTGCTCCGTGAGTAGATACTGTGCCCTGGGGACGCTCTTTAGTCGGACAGGAACAGTCGAGAACCGATGGGCTATAAACTCACGAGACGTCGAATTTCATGACTTGGTCCATAAGAGGACGAAGCTCGGGGCGCTTTTCTGCGAATGCAGCCAACGTGCCGGCGGCCAGGTTGTACTGGATTGTGAGTAGCGTGAATGCGCCACCATCCATAGCATAAATGTTGTCCATGTGCAACTCCCAAAACTTCGGCTTCAGGTAGAGGACATCGTCCGCCGTGAGAGCTTCGCAGGGCGCGTGTGAACATCATGACGGGATGACATGATACAGCAAAGGCGATGCTCACCATATGCCTTCGCAATAGCCCGTGCTCTCCGATAGGTCAGAGCAATACGTTCCTCCAGCGGAGCATAGTCGCTGATGCGCTGGAAATCTGGAGTCCGGACAAGATGCGCGGTACGAGCAGAAGCCATGTCGCCAGAGAAAGGAGGGTGTATCTGCGAAATATGATTTCCAGCCCTTATAAAGCAGAACTGGCCAGGAAACGCACGGCAGGAACGCAGACCCGCTGGAAAGCACGATATTTAATGACGCCACGATAGCCGAGCTTTCCGTCTCGCGAACGTAGCCGGACTTATCTCGAGCCTGGATCTTCGCGCTCTATACGCTGTCCTTGATCGCATTTTGCCCGGCCGCACCGGGTAGATAATCTGGAGAGGAAAGTGACGTGTGAACGCATCTTCCATCGGCAAGCAAGGTCATTTTAGCGATTCAATGCAGGCCGAGTCATTCCTATCATTCTGGATGCGGGCCAAGGGCCGTGGAGTGGAGACTCTGTTCCCCTTAAACGGTGCTGCAACGCTTGACGAAGGTTTTGGAAACGTGGCGCAAATCGTATCTCTTTCGGGAAGCGATCGGCGCGGGAGAATTTAGATACTAATAGCAGGAAATCCCGATCTGCCCTTGCCGGATGCAAATCAGCATGGTAGCCGGCTCGGAACGGCTCCATTTCAGCTATGCGCATAAATTGATTATGCTTCGCTAGCACTTCGCTTGCAAGAGGGCCTTCGATGATATGAACAAACATTGCGTTTTGACCTTGCGCTTGGGAGGCTTGAAAATCTATTCTACTTGGAGAAAGGAAGAAGATGTCGGCACATCAAGCGCCATCCCGCGACAACAGCCTTCGGGGAGTGCGCCCGGCAGGAAGGCCAGCACCCAATGCATAGGCTGAGAACGCAACAAGCAAACGTCCAGAACAGAACCAGCGCCACTGCTGTTCTAGTCTGGAATGCGCTAGCTGTATCTTTGATGCAGCGAACGCCTCATGACAGCTGGCCGTCAGGGAGATATTCTAGGCAAATGCGTATCAACCGAAACATCCTCGTGCACGGTGTGGACCAAAGGCATGCGGATTTGTACACGTAAAGCTGGCGTAAGGTACGATGTAGCGCCGTTCAGTATGCGGTCGGTCAGTGTGTCGGTAGTTGGATGACAAGAAAGACTATGGTAAGCACACGGCGCCGGAATGTTCACCGGTCCACAGGTTGCGACCAACGCGTCGTGATCAGGAACTCCTTGTCAATGAGTATGCGCCACACTGAATGAAAAGAAACGTTTAGAGCATGATACTTTCATCAGATAGAGGTGACCCCAATTAGCGGTCTGTCAGGCAGTGCCAGACACGAGCTCAGTTGCAAATAGCGGAGCAAGACAAGACCAAACCTTGAATGGTATACGCATCCCGAACGGAACGCGTTGTACACACGAGCAGGTTTCCGTCAGGGCCCGAAGCTGTTGCAGGACTGCCGAGTATGGTAAGCGGTGTCAATCCCCAGGCCGTAGCGCGTCGAAGGATGCTGAGTCTGAAAAAAAACGTGATGAAGTCTCGCTGGAAATCAGAAAGCGAAGTGATTTGCGATATGGCTAGCAATCGCACTGAAAAATACGTGGCTTGACCGGCTGGGGCAGAGTGCGTTGGGGCTAGCCCGATATGAGAAACATTACCGGAATATATTACGTGACCTGACTACGCCATCATATGGCTTGCTTCATCATCTGCCCACTCAGCTACGCATCATTTCCGGATACTTACAAACAGCATCCGCTCATTCACTCACCGGTACATGCAAGGTCATAGCTGCTGCAGCGGCAACCCTGTGGGCCGAGCGAACGATCCGCCACATTGTGGGCTTCTGTGGGCTCGCGGGAGAGACTTGGCAATAGCCGAGTTCCATCAGGGCTTGTGACACATGCAGGGGAGGGATGCAATGAAGAAGCGAGGCCAGATTTGTTGTCACGCTAGAAGCGCACCCGTTCACGAGTCCAGACGTTCGGGTGGCGGACATAGGCATGGCATGACGGAAGACAAGAGTCTCTAGAATGAATGGATGAGCTTTTCACGCAACGAATTCAGGGTCGCGAAGTAGTCATGAACACAAGCGGGAAGATTCGTGGCGGCGACACCGATGGAACAAACCTCGAAACGGCCAGACACACATCAAATATATGATAGAAGTTAAATCCAAGAATTGAGCGGATAGAGTGAAGTCCCACCCACAATTCGATGAACAATCATCTCGGAGGTCGAGTTGCCTGTCCTGCGCTACGACAAGTCGCCGAGTACCTCGCATCTAGGATCACAAACTCGCAGCACTGTAGCCTCCGGATGATCTGCGACGTCAAAAATGGCGTAGACGTTAAGCGGCTTACATGAGCACCCTTGTTCAACTGGAGGGACGCAGCTCGATGCACTTAAGGGTCGGTGTAATATTGTCGAAGGCGACGCTGAGCAGCAGGAGCCACAATGCAGACACACTGCTGTCCGGCTCTAGAGGATCTCTCGCTCGCCGTTCGGAAGCAAAATATTCAGTGCTTGTGACCGACAGAGAGAACAAGCGCCTGTAGTACCGCGGGCTGAGTCACGTGCGCATGTGTGGCCCGCAGTCGGGCGCTTCGCCTGAGTCTGCGCAGGCCACTGAGTACTACTCTCGTGGTGCGCAACGAGCAGCTCGTTCGCCATGATTCTACACATGACGGCTCTCTTGTTCTGGTACGCGTGCTTGATGCCGCTCTTGCTCGTCGTACGAGCACAGCAACCCGAACACTCTGTCACCGCTTTTCAGAATCTACCCAGCAGGCTGTTCTTCTTCGACGATACTACGGCAGGTTCCATATTTTCATTTATGGAGCATGCTGCTCATTCCTTCTGTGATAGACTGCAATATATCATGATGCAGTGAATGGCGATGTCTTTGTGTCTCCGGACGAGGGTAAGACATGGAACAAAGCCAATGGTATACCCGAGGGACAAGCCTCGATGGTCATTGAGCATCCCTTCGACAACAGCTACGTATGTGAGCTCCTTCTTTGACATGTGTTGTATACTGAGGCTGCGTAAGGCATTCGTACTGACTAGAGGCACAACACACTATCGAACGGAGGACCGAGGCAGAACATGGCGTCGGTTTGAGATGCCAATACAACCAGCCCTCGTCGGAAAACCTCTGTCGTTCCACTCCGATCCCAAAAAGTACGGATACATATTGTACCAAGGAACGAGCTGTGAACGGAGTACAGGCTGGGGATCAATCTGTCATGATGAAGTACGTTCGTCATTCCCGGAGGCTATGTTCTTCGTGATCTCACGGCGCCTGCAGACATACTATACCAAGGAAGCCTTTAGCGACGAGCCTCAGCTACTTCTTGCCGAGACATCACGTTGCCAGTTCGCTCACAGCAGCAAGGACTTCAAGCACGATGCACATCCTGACCTGATTTACTGTGTGGCATTTGATACGACCACTACCTCGGGCGCGCATGCGCTCTCCTCCAGCCGACTATTCTCCTCTACCGATTTCTTCAAGAATGAGAACAAGATCGAGGACCTCGGCATCGGCAAGAACGCGAAGGGTGTTATGGCGTTCGCGATTGTATCGAAGTTCGCCGTGGTCGCTCTGAGAGACCTCTCGCCTGGGAACAATGGCGAGATGCTGCTGTACGTCTCCGTAGATACCAAGACCTGGGCAAAAGCCCGCTTCCCGCATGCGTCGTCTGCTCGTCTGAGGGAGAATGGGTACACGATCGTCGAGTCGACGACACACTCGCTTGCTGTGGACGTCATGCTCCAGGATCAAACGACTATCGGTACGCTGTTCGTGAGCAACTCGAACGGGACGTTCTTCGTGGAGAGTCTGAAGGATACAAACCGGAATGAAATGGGGTACGTCGACTTCGAAGACCTCTACGGGATCGAGGGCGTCGGGATGGCGAATGTGGTGGCGAATGCAGAGGAAGTGGAGGGACGCGGGGCGACGAAGCAGTTACAGACAAAGATAACGTTTGACGATGGTGAGTACCCAGTGCGTCCTCATAAAATCCGTGTCATGTCAACTCCCGCAGGCCGTTCCTGGTCCCGCTTGACGCCACCATCGGAGGACAGCGAAGGACGGGGTATCTGGTGTAACCCTAATAATGCCGATTGTTCACTGCACCTGCACTCTGTGACTGTCCCGCACAACTTCGGACGTGTCTTCTCCTCGCCAGCGCCAGGTTTCGTTATGGGCGTTGGCTCGATCGGCGCGTATCTGAAACCGTACGATGAGTGCGATACTTTCCTGAGCACAGATGCGGGAGTGACATGGACCATGGTGCGTATGGGTGCGCACAAATATGAGTTTGGCGACCAGGGGAGCATCATGGTGGTCGTAGACGATGAAGATGCGACGGACAGCGTAAGCTATTCGAGCGATCTGGGCCGTACATGGTGCGTAATAGCCTCACAATCATACAACTCTATCGAGACACAACTCATGAGTCCAGGCGCACGCTCAACTTCGGTGTCAAACTTCGCGCACGTATACTGACAACGGTGCCCGATTCGACTTCGCAAAAGTTCATGCTCGTAGGGCAAGTGGCGAAGGATGATGCTCAAAGCAACCAGGGTCGCTATGCTGTGGTATTCTTGGACTTCCTGCCTATGCGGTCGAGGAAGTGCGGCGAGGACGACTATGAGAGATGGTATGCACGTTCGCTGACGCATGAGTGCCTGATGGGACACAAGGTAAGTCAACCGCAACTATGGTGAGATTGTGATTGAGTGACACTGCTACTTGCGCAGCAATGGTACAAGCGTCGCAAGCCAGATGCAGACTGCTATGTCGGCGAGAAGTTTGCAGACCCAGTTGAACACGAGGAAGACTGTCCGTGCACGGATGAGGATTACGAATGGTCAGTCTTTCTTCGTTTTTCTCATAGCTACGCTTCGTATTCTGATCTGCAATTCGGCGTCAGCGATTACAATTTCGTGCGCGAAGGAAATGTGTGCGTGCCTGTTGGGCCGGAGCCCATACCTGCAGGCGTATGCCCTCCAGATCAGCAAGATCAGACCTACAGAGGTTCCTCTGGCTACCGGTTGATTCCCGGCAATACGTGTGATAGAAGTAGAGGAGTACGAAAGGACGATCCTGTGGAAAAGCCGTGCTCGAATGGTATGTCTGTATTTTCTGATACTGCGCAGTTTAATACAGACTTTGTTCAGCTCAGCCAGCGGAGGGCCAGATCATACACCAGACGGTAGGTAGTGATGGTGGAGTCGTCCGGCACCTACTCACCGATCAATGTCTAGTTCGAATTCCAGGCCCCTGTCGTGCAATTTGCATACTTCAAGGATTCCACTGTGAGTAGTCGTCTTGTATGCCGCGAAAGATGACCGAGTCTAACGCTCATCCAGACGATCCTCGTTCGCTTGTCTGACAACACGATCTGGCAATCCAGCAACGAGGGATACACGTGGCGACAGATTGTCCCAGAGGAACGCTTCGTTGCTTTCTACCATCACAAGTTCACCAATGATCGCGCCTACTTGATCACCCCTACAAATCGTCACTATTACACCACTGACACCGGACGGACGTGGAAAACGATGAACGTTCCCAATCCGCCGAACAACTTTGGCCTGCCGATTCTGCATTTCCACCCGACCAAGTCGGACTACCTGATCTGGACGGGCAGTGAGGGATGCTCAGGCTTCGGAGAGAACTGTCACGTGGAGGCGTCCTATTCACGCAACAATGGAGAGAAGTGGACGTTGATCGAGAAGTATGTACGGAATTGCGCGTGGGCGAGAGATGCGGAACTGCTGGTAGACCCTAACCAGATAATCTGCGAGGTGTATAAGAACAAAGAGGGATCGCAGCGGTTCTTCTCCATGGAGAACCCGTTGCAACTGATTGGCGGGACGGGGTTCTTTAGTGAGCAAACAAAGCTCTTCGACCATGTGGTCGGCTTTGCGAAGTTCAGCGAGTTTTTGATTGTTGCGGAGGTGAACGCGACGAACCAATTGCGCCTGCCATTCATTGCTGACCGGTATCCTTTTTCAGTACCAAACGCAGAAGCAGGCCCTCGACTTGCAAGTTTCATTGGATGGTAGAAAGTTCGCCAGCGGATTATTCCCTCCCAACATGAGGCCTGATCAGCATGTGCGTCAGGTTATAACCATGAATGTGTGCGCCGCGTTACTGACATCTCCTCTCTAGGCCTATACGATCCTTGAATCCAGCACAAAGGCAGTCTTCCTTCACGTAACGACGTCTGAGCTCCCTGGGCTATACTGGGGTCACATTCTCAAGTCGAATTCGAACGGTACATACTACGGTCTTTCCATCGAGAATGTCAATCGCAACGAGGCTGGATACGTGGATTTCGAGAAGATGATCGGACTTGACGGCATCGCTCTCATCAACGTGGTGTCGAACCCCCAAGAAGCGATCATATCGGGTCGCAAGAAGCTGCAAACTCGCATTACACATAATGACGGTACGCAGTCGTCGCAGCAGCCTTTTATTCAGTGTTGAGAGATTTTTCCCCAGGTGGGACATGGAAGCGTCTCGTTCCTCCTCCTACCGACTCGTTGAATCACGACTACGAGTGCGACAGTGCCGTAAGTTGCTTTGATAAGACATAGGTGATGGGAACTGAGATGACCGGTGTACGCTCATAGAGCTGCGCCCTGCACATCCATGGATACACCGAGCGCTATGATGCGCGTGCTACTTACAGCACGCCCTCCGTCCCTGGTCTGCTCATGGCTGTTGGCAATGTGGGCACGTCGCTCGCTGAGTACACAGAAAGCGACACGTTCCTTAGCCGTGATGCGGGACACACATGGGAGGAAGTGCACAAGGATGCCCATCTTTGGGAATTCGGAGACTCCGGTTCCATACTCATCATGGCGAATGACGAAGAGCCGACGGATCATGTTCTGTTCAGTACGGATGAGGGTCTAAACTGGCGCGAGTACCGGTTCACCGACGAAAAGATCCGAGTGAAGGAAATTGTCACCGTGCCGTCGGACACCAGCAGAAGGTTCATCCTGATGGGATATTACCCTCGTTCACCCGTCGTGCATGTCGCTGTCCACATCGACTTCTCATCACTCACACGCAAGCAATGTGAGCGATGCCACATCTCTTTCATTCGCACGAGTGTGACATTGCTACAGGTGTGCTGAGTATCGAAAATCCTGGCAATGACGACTTTGAGCTATGGAGTCCCAGTGAACAGCGTAACGAGTTATGTCTGTTCGGCAGGCAGGTCAGTGCTGTGGCTGTAGGCTCTCTATCATCTCTGACATCTCATTCCCAACTGCAGACTCTCTATCATCGCCGCGTCCGTGATGCAAATTGCGTAGTTGGCAACCAGCCTAAAGCTACGGAGAAAGTTGTGAAGAATTGCGAATGCGACAACAGTGATTTCGAGTGGTGCGTCTTCATCACATCGGTTGTGTGTAATCTTTGCCTGTTTAATCGATGGTCTTAAACTCTCGCAGCGAATTCAACTATTACAGGGACGAGAGCGGCGTGTGCGTTCTCGTGCCGGGCACACAGCCATTACCTGATGACGACTCATGCCGGAACGGAGAGGACCATTGGTATGAACGGACTGAATATCGCAAGATTCCGTATTCGACGTGCGACGGCGGAAAACGTCTAGATCGGGGCGACAAACATCTTTGCCCCGGCATCAAAGGCCATAGCGGCTGGTTCTGGTTCACAGTATTGATGGTTCCCTTCGCATTTGCCGGTCTCTTTGGATGGTGGTTCTACCGCAAGCATGGTCTGGCAAGAGGGTAAGTCACTTGATGTACAGATGTGGCGATTGCTCACGATGCATGGTAGGACGATTCGACTACCTGGAGGAGAAAGTGGTCCGAGATATGTCAGCAATTCAAGCGCACTCGACACGCTCGCATCCGTGCCGTGGTATCTTATGGGACTTGCAGGCATCGCGTGGGGAGCGATTATATCCAGGTTCGGAGACATGACCGCAGGAATGCGGAACCGTAGTGGATACCGATCAGTACCCGTCGATGAAGACGCGCAGATATTGCGATTCGAGGACGAGGAGTAGATTTTATTGCCGTGTTGTGATTGTACGTCTATTCTTGTGCACACAGAACGTATGTATCGTTGCAGTTGCTTTCAGCCTATAGTTATATGTGTATTCAATATCTATGGACCTTTGGATGTTCACGTACTGTCACCTGGCTGCAAGCCAATGCACTCACAATAATCGCCGCCATCTGTTACTTGAGGAGAAACCATGCGGTATATTTTATTGACGAGTATAGTTGATACAGACAGCAATTAATGACAAGGTTCGACAGCCATGATAGTCAGAACGGGAATGCGTATGAAACGATCTATACACAGAAGTCTATATTCGCTTCATTCGATGACGCCCAAATGATCCTCCTTGATGGTCCCGATGGCAAACTGTGATGGAGACAGTGAGGGAAAGGAAGCGACAGAAATCACCATATGCGTACGATTTCGGTCGCGTCCACACGCGTTCCCACTATCTTTAGTCGGATTTTGGTATTCTTCTCAATGATCTATCGATAAAAGTAAGCGTCCAGCTACAAGTACAACAACTAATACTCGGACCTGGTCTTCTGAGGCGAATGAGGGCGGATTTGAATTGGGGTCGAATCTCATATTCGGATGGATCAGCTACACCAGACGTCAGCGAGAAACGGTGACACGGAGTGGAGTTACTTACTTGTTGTGAGACAAACACAGTCAACGGTCCAACGTCGGCGAAAAAGCCCATCTGGTCGAACAGATATATATCGAAAGCTTTGAGAAAATTGGACGCTCAGACCTTGATCACATTGTTCACAACACCGTCCACGACCTCCCCCTTAAATGGCTTGAACACGATTGCCCGATACCGTGTGATGAATTCAGCTTGACCACTACCGCTGATGACCATACCCTTGCCGATGTCTAGGATCGATACAACCGCGATGATGTACCCGAACTGGCCAGAACATGTTCCCTCTACATCGGAATAGAGCTTAGACTCGAGGAACTGCAGCATGCGAGGCCCGAAATAGGAAGGGTGCAGCAAGATTGTGTGCGACAGCTCTTTCTAAGGGAAGACGACATGGAGTATGTACGAAAGACAACGTTTGAGCACTCACGATGAAAAACATGGTGGCAGTGTTAGTACAAGCTTGCAAGCAGTCTCGAAACCATTGAGAACAGTAAGCGATTGATAAATACACACTTCAATTGATTTGAAGGCCGGCTAGCTCAGTTGGTTAGAGCGTGGTGCTAAGATTGCAACCTTCTGGTAACCCAACATTGAAAGGTTTTGGTTTTGGTGATGCTTGTAAGTGAGGCCAAGGTCGTCGGTTCGATCCCGGCGTTGGCCATCTTTTGTGCTCCCAACGTATACTCTTAAATGAGTCCTAGTCGTCCGTCTTCCACCTCATCTGATAAGTCGTCTATTCAGGCACTATCGAGGGCTGGAGCTCGAGATGAACATTGCGTATATCACTCAATGAGAAGATGGCTTAGGCCACAGCCGCTTACTGGAGCGCTCACCGTTCACACGTCCTCTGCTTTCTGCTTTCTGTTACGACCACCTTACGACTGCTGCAACGACACTCATTTCGCTATCGCTTACATGTCCTCCAAAAGACCTCGGGAACAGTCTCAAACATCTTCGACCACGTGGTCCCCTTCTCCCTCACCAGAACCTACGCCAAAGGCTGTACGAACTGCTCTACCTGCGGACGTGTCGACATGTGCTAGTCCCTTCCTTTGCACCCTTCCGCCGACATGTAATCCTCCTCAGAATCGGCCTACGCCGCTGGAGAGCAGCAGTGATATTGAGGCCCACTATGCAAAATACCATGCGCACGTCTGTGAGGAGAGAGGATGTGGCTGTGTTTTTCCAGATGCGAGATTGTTGGAGTTGGTGAGTATACAGTCTACATGTTTTCACCTTTCGGACATATCCGTCAGTTGGAGAGCCCTGACAATGGCGCATTCCCTGGAATAGCATCAGGCAGAATGCCACGATCCTCTTGCCTCGATACGGAAGGATAGAGGAGAAAAGATTGTCAGTTATTCCAGCTCCTTTTGTCGCATGTTCTGATGCTGACACGTTATATTCTCAATCAAAGTTTGCGTGCCACCTCACAACATGCTCGAAAATGTTCCTCACACCTAAGGCGCGGCGGCTGCATCTCATCCAGGCGCACGGATATCCGAAAGAATACTTCTTCGCTGTAACGAACAAGGGAGTGGGAGAACTTTTGAAGCGATGGGGCGAGGGCGCCAGCATGGTTCGAGGGAAGTGGGCTGCGCGGGAGGAGGTGAATGATGACATGGACGACGGTAGTGGGAGCGACATTGCAAGCGACGATGAAGGAGAGGAAGAGGTACATGAAACACAAGTGGATGATGCCAAGATGGATGGGGAAACAGAGGCGTCTGGCGCGAATGGAACACAAGTTCAGCTGCAGAACGGGAAGGAATCGGTAGGAAAGTACGAAGATGAAGCCAGCGAGAACAAGGAGGACGAGACAATGGACACGCTTATGGGGGCGATGGGCTCTCTTTCGCTCGTTCCACCGAAGATCAGATTTGGACGTGGCGCGACAAGACCAGGATTTGGCCGTGGGCGGGCAGGCATAATGCAACGCGGCGCAGCGATGGCGAGAGGACGTGGAGGTTTCAACGGGGCTATGGGAGGGATAGGACGTGGTATGATGTCCCCACAGGCGACTACATCAGGAAACATTGCGATGGGCGGAAGTGCGCGAATGGACATGCAGACGCAGGCACCGATGCGAGGCATCTTAGGCGGAGGGTTCATTCGCAGAGGCGTGCATGGACCACCAGCAACTAGAGGGGGCATGATCAGGTTGAATGGAAACGTGCCGAGAGGACGTGGCGGTGGTCGTGCTGTGCAGCCTGCGAGGGGGAGGGGCATAAGCCGTGGTGGCACCGGCGGAGGATCGCTGGGGAGAGGAACTATCAGAGGTACGACTCCGTGAGGGTTTCTTGACCAGAGGGGCATAGGTTTGGAGGCTGAGACAGATTAGCAAATAGTTGCTTATAATTAGGAGTACATATACGCAGGATCTCGTTTGCGTGATATCCGGGGCTGGTAGTCTGTACTGTGCAGGAACTGACGGCCGCTTTCCTCACTAGCCATATAGTCCACAGTAATGTACAAGGATCATGGAGCGCTGAGCCGGGCCTTGTGTTGCTATATATATTTCGCTATGACATTTATTCATTCTACACAGGAAAAATGCGTAAGTAGCTGCAACTGGCGCAGCCAGCACCTAAAAGATATCACATTCGGTGCTAGAAGCGTGTTGGCCGACTTTCTGCGCATACAAAGACGTATCCGCTGAAACCTCACATTGCATAAGCGGCAATTGGTGAAGCCAAAGTAATGGGCGCGTTCAGTGCCTGGGAACGACGATGTCTGATTGACTTGGAAAGCTGGGATGCATTTCTGAGCACTGGAAATGTATTCATGGTTTGACGAAGATGGACCTAATGATTGGTACGATGGTGAACAGAGCGTGAGGACCGCAGGAGAGAACGTTGGCATTCGAAAGCCATGGCACAACGAAATGTCACGCATCACATGATTGGTGACGAGACGCGTTTGTGGTCGAGACCATGCATATGCATGATCCCTCGCACGAACGGTTCGCAGGAATGATAGCGCTAAATGATCTGCCATTGATACATGCAATGCAAGCAAATACACAGTTGAATGTGTCGCTACACCAGCACACCACCAATAGATCAGAAACCCTTCTCAGATACGATTAGAGACCCTCGAGAAAGAGTCTTACTCCCCTCTGTAATATCGCGTCTTGACGAACGGCATCGGAGTTAGCACGGCCTTCCTGAGCTTATTGCGGACATCAACCGCGAGCTCCGTTCCTTTTTTATGCCATCCAGACTGAACGTAGCCCATGGCGATATTCTTGTTCAGCGTAGGCGAAGGGATGCCCGATGTGACAACGCCTGCGGAGCCTCCGGTCACGGCACGATACCCAAAGGTGTTATAGCTCACCTATCTCTTCTTTACCCCCTAGCGTGAAAATCTTGGCACCCTCTGAGATGATGACTCCGTGAGCAGTTGTATGCCAGCAGTAAGCGGCGCACTCACGTCTCGCTGGTGCACCCTCAACGATCATGCCCACGCGCCTCCTTGGAGGGCCTTCCTTCAGGTGCTTCAAAATACCTCCCGCCCCGATGAAGGTCGCTGTCTCTCTTCGATCCTTTCCTACAGGATGCAGATCGCTTAAAGTGGGCATAATTAGAAATTGCCGCGGACTTACCAATTACCCACGTCAGCGCTGCCTCCACCGGCGTAGTATCTTCGTCGAGGTCGTTCCCGTACAAACACATGCCAGCTTCAAGACGCAAGCTGTCTCGTGCTCCAAGTCCTGTAAGCTGCACGGGGGGCTTGGAGAGAAGCTTAGCGACTTCTACGGTCTCGGAGGGCGGAATGGAGATCTATCAAGATGATGAGGCATCCGACAATGAACGCAGGATCTCTAGGACGCACTTCAAAGCCATCCTCTCCAGTGTATCCGCCGCGAGCGACGTGTAGGTTATAACCCTCGATGGGAACAAATGCAGACTTGCCAAAGGTCAGAGCCTTGAGGTCAAAGGACGTAAGTCCCTGAAGGTACTGTGCAGCCTCCGGACCTGGGATGACATGTGAAGCACGCTGTATGCGTGTATGCGTGTATGCGTGCAAGCACACCTTGGAGAGCCAACAGGCCCCAGTCTTCGAGAACTTCGAGCTCGACCTTGCCATCCTTCGCCCGTTCGCTCGTGTTCCACTCCTCTAGCTTCTCCCTGAACCACGAGAGGTCGCGATCGCGGCGGGAAGCGTTAGTGACTACATAAAACGCGTCGTCCGCGTGCTTCGTAACGATAGTGTCATCGATAATACCGCCACGTTCATTCAAAATGACTGAAAGCGTCGATGAGTACGGTTGGAGGGAATGCAGGGATGAGGGCGTCAGCCACTCAAGGAAGGCAGTGGCCGTTGCGCCTCGGAAGCTTGGGCACGGTCAGGCTCTCCGGGACTCGACAATGGACTGCACATACTTGGACTGCACCATGTGCCCTACGTCGAACAGCCCGACAGATTGCCTAACATGATGATGGCTGGCCACTGAAGTGAATAAGTACCTTAGAAATGCACGCCGAAAAGTTTGATGCGTACCCGCTCCGACGTCTCCGTACGAGAGAGGCATAGAATACCCAGCGAAGGGGACCATCTTCGCACCATTCTGAACATGAAAGTCGTAGAGCGCTGTCTTTTTGAGCTGCTCTGGTCTGTCAGATCTCGAAGCAAGATGTATAAATGTAACGCACTTCACCACCTGCCGTAGCATAAAGACGCGTCTGAGCGTTCCACGCCCGCGTCGCGGGCACGACGCGTCGAGTACCTGTCCTGGTTGCCAGCCGTAGGATTGCGGTCATGATGAGGAGGTGCGTCGGCAACACCTGCGTTGACGAAGGGAAATAGAGAAATGAGCCGCACCCACGGGAGCCCGAGCGGAGAGGGGTGAAAGAGTCGAAATTGAGAATAAAGACTATTGTAACGTTTCGCGGATATCTCCAGATATGTACTGGCCAGATCGCGATCACTGATGTGCTGTATAACTTGTACTCATCTCCGCGCCGTCGCTCCTGCACAACACGCCTCCCTCCCATTAATCCCTCCTCCAGCTGGGCAGCAGAAACTGTTCTTATCCACTTGATCTTCCGCTGACACGCCATCATGTCACGGTTCGTACGGGCGTCGAAATATCGGTGAGAACGACGTTGCAAGCTGTCGCCGTACACTGACCACACGCAGCCACGTCTTTGGACAGCAGGGGAAGAAAGAGTATGGCTTCGACAACATCAAGGTGTCCAGCAGCGCATGGGATACCAATCTTATCTCTGCGTCGTCCGTACGTCGCGTATGCACCACCATGGAGTGACAGTGTGTCCTGACAACGGCAACAGCGATACATCAGCATCAACTGGAACGCTTCGGGAGGCGGCGCGTTCGCCATCCTGCCCCTTCCTTCGCCTTTCGAACCCTTTCCGCATGGTTTTCCCTACAAGCTCCCCGACCTGATCCCACTCGCGCGCAGCCACTCTGCCCCCGTCCTCGATACTGACTGGTCGCCGTTTAATGACTCTGTCGTTGCCTCAGCCGGCGATGATGGCAAGGTAATGATCTGGAAGGTTGAGCCCTCTGTGTTCGAGGGCTGGGGCCAGGAACACTGGGAGCCCCAAGACTTTGACCCCGTTGCGCGCATCGACGTCTCGCCGCGCAGAGCAGGCCAGGTCCTGTTCCATCCCACCGCGAACAACGTATTGGCGACCACGACGGGCGACCACACTGTCAAACTGTGGGACCTCGCGAACCCGGAGCACCCGAAGGTGGTTCTCGGTGGTCACGGCGATGCAATCCAGAGCCTGGCGTTTAACCCTTCCGGCAACCTCCTTGTCACGACATGCAGGGATCGCAAGATCAGGCTCTTTGATCCTCGTGCGAGCGGTGATGCTGTGCGCGTTACGGAAGGACATGGCGGGATCAAGGCAAGTGTCTTTGTCGTGTGACCTGCTACGTTACGGCTAATCGCTGTTCAGGGTGCACGCGTTGTCTGGATGGGCGAGAGGGACAACATTGCAACGACTGGTTTCAGCAAAATGAGCGACCGTCAGGTCGCGATATGGGAGACTGGTGGACTCACGAACGTCAAGATGATTACGATTGATCAGACTTCAGGAGTCCTTATGCCATTCTGGTCGGACAACAACATTCTCTTCCTTGGTATGTGACACGTAGTTTTTCACATAAGCTCTACTGATGATATCAACGCTCTCCAGCTGGCAAGGGGTAAGTTCTCATACAGTGCGACTGTCAAAACATCGTTGACCTTGTGATCCAGAGACGGGAACATCAGATACTACGAGTACGAGGGCGATCAGCTCTACGGCCTTTCGGAATTCAAGTCGGCTGATCCTCAGCGTGGCATGTGCTTCCTCCCTCGCCGTGCCCTGAACGTTTCAGAATGCGAGATTGCCCGCGCGTACAAGCTCACCGCCACTGCGATCGAGCCCATCGCATTCATCGTCCCACGGAAAGTACGTTTCACGACATCTTCGATTTTTGTGCAAGTGGAATAATATATCACTCTGATAGTCTGAATCGTTCCAATCCGACATCTATCCTCCTGCTCCGTCCTCAGAGCCAGCCCTCTCCGCAGCGGAGTTCTTCTCAGGCAAGACTGCGCCTCCGAACCTGGTCAGCCTTGACACAGGTGCGATTTCCGCTGGTGCCCCTCCCTCCGCCGTTCCATCGACGCCAGCGCCACAACTGGTGTCTACTCCTACCAAGACGTCCAGCGCGCCAGCACCCGTGGCCGCTTCTGTTCCGAGCACACCTGCCCAAGCCGAACCTCCATCCCCGGTTGTCACCAAGACTCCTTCTAGTCCGGTCGCAATCTCCCACGAACCGAAGACCCTCACTCGCTCGGTCACCAATCCAGAACATGTGCGTATACGGCGCTATAAGTTCGTGCTGTTTGCTGACGCAGTTGGTGCGGACTCGAACAGGACACCTTCGCGGTTTCTGCTCTTAAGGAGGAGAACGCGCGCATCACTACTGAGCTTCGTGAGGCGCGTGCACAGATCCGGAACCTCGAATTGCAGGTCGAGAGCATGAAGGCGAATGCCCGCAAGGCGGCTCAGGCATTGCTTGAAGGCTGAGGTGGAAGATGATTGGAGAACTTGTAATGTACAGTAGGATAGTGTGGGGTTTGCTGGTGCCGTTTTGCTTCTAGTGCCTTTCGCGTGCGCAGTTTTAGGCAATACAGTCTAACAGTATTTTGTGCCATAACTCTTGGTGGACGCTTTCATGCAGGTCGGGCACCGTGCACGGATCTTCATAGTGTGTGCCATCGGTATGAATGCCAGAAGGTGTTATGCACGGCCAGCGAGCTGAGACTACTCCTCCTTTTCTCCCCGTTCACTTAGTCGGGGCAGAACCACACACATGGTGCGATTTACCAACGTGGAAAATTGTGTGTAAATGTTGACTGATTTCTTACACATGCGACAAATATTTGCAACCACAGCACTTCATGTTGAAAATGTTTCACTTTGGCTGCAAATGTGCACTATTTGCCATTTAAATACTATATTGGCAAATCTTTGTCACAAATGTAAGACATCAGCCGACATTCCCACACTATTTTTCACACTGATAAATCGCATCATGTCTGCCGTGACAAGGGACGCCACCAACGTGAACGGGAGCGGTCACGTGCCGCGTGGTCGGAAGTACCCAATAATGGACACCTTACCCGCGCGCATGCACTCTCCTCCTGCTATCGTCTTCGACTGCATCATGGCGGTGTTGCGCTCGCTGTCACTGCGTGTTGGGGTTGAATCTCATCCGGGAGAGATGTGGATGAGCGACCAGGTTGCGCCCAAATCTCACCCACAGTTGTCACCGGAAGGGATGTGGGAGATTGGCCAGATCGCACCTAACGTCGACTCCAGGTCATAGCCGCTACAGTCACGGCAGACGTGAAGTAATTTACAAATGTGGAAAATTGTGTGGGAATGTCGGCTGATGTTTTACATTTGTGGCAAAGCTTTGCCAATTTAGCATTTAAACAGCAAATAGTGCACATTCACAGCCAAAGTGAAACATTTTCAACATGAAGTGCTGTGGTTGCAAATATTTGTCGCATGTGTAAGAAATCAGTCGACATTTACACACAATTTCCCACATTGATAAATCGCATCATGTCTGCCGTGAGTCTTCAACCGGTCCTTTATACACTACCAGTCCTTTATACAGAAGCACTTTCCTCATTCATTTCCAGGTCAAATTGCTCAGTAAAAAATATTATGTAGCTACTGATTAGAGGATTCATGGTCCATAAGACAAGATGCAGGTGGTGTGCCTGTTCTTTTGCAATATGGCATTTTTTCTGTTCAAGGCTTTTTTATGAAATTTTATTTTGGCTCTCATAGCATGCAGCAAGAGAGATTCTGAAAGATCAACATGCTAAATATATCTATAGTCAAGAGGCATGATGTCTGCACCCAAATGAGCTGATAGCGTGTGTGTATCGACCTCAGGAGGTGATTTATCCCTGAAGAGGAGGGGCCCAGCGAGTGCTGTCACATGCTGTCACATGACATCACATGTGACAGGTCCTTAAGACCGTTTCGTGGACCACTTGAGAAAAGCCGCTCTCAAGCCAAAATGGTGAAAATTGACAACAACTGTCACAGATTTTCACGTTTTCACCTCTGCACGTGACCAAGACATCATTTGACATCAGCGCTAGGCTGTTCAGAAAGGAACGAACTGGTATGTGAAGTACTAACAGTCCTAGATGCTCCGAAGGTCCAGGTCTAGTCACGTGACATATCACGTGATATCCACACATGTGACAAGTAGCGCTGGTATTAGGTAAGCCTAACTTATACAGTAATATCATCCCACCTAGAAGCAACGGTCGGACTCCGGACGAATCCAACGAAGGAGATACACGCCACTGGAGATATGTCCTTAAGGGGATATTAGTTCACATGCACGAGGTAGATAGATACCACGCCACCGGAGATGTAGCCATTACAGGCAATACTATTCCCATGGTCTTACTAAGTAGTTCGGAGGTTCGGCATACATGACACACGTAGTCTGACAGGTAGTGGTAACCAATCAGACAATGTCCATTAGCTAGTGGTTCTGGGGTATCAGGGTACCAAGGGTCCCTCCGCTCATGTATATAAGCCAGAGCTCTGAGACGTATAAGTCCCCCAGACTTATTCTCATCTCTGCTACGCCTATCCATACAGTATTACCAGTGCTCACTTGCAAGGCACTGCTTTACCTTGATCATCTTTGTGTCCATCCTTACGTCGACAACAGTCAGTAAGTGTTTGATCATAAGGTCATAGGCTTAGTCGGCGCTCTGCATCCTAAGTTTGTGATAGAAGAATAAGTCTGCTTATCTTACCTGCCTCGAGTGCCTGCCCAGCGTACTCGCCACAGTGTTGCGTCTTCGCACGTCCACCCGCACGTTAGCGGTGTCATATCTTCACCTGACGTTCCGTCAGTCGCCGACTCTACCAGCGTAAGCTGCACCAAGGCATTGCGCAGCATCGACGGTGTCATCCGTCATCCTCGAGCGAGAACTCCAGAAGAGTTCTACGAGCAGCGGCCCATAAGACCCCTGCCAAGGCCAGAACACATCTCTACAGGAGGTCGGCCCCCTCGCGGCACTAGTTCAGTTTCTATTATCCAGACTCCCTCGGTCAGGCGACCGAGACTACCTGCAGGACCATCTGGTCCAGATCTCAATCAAGGGACATACGTCGAGACCGCTACAGGGTCTCATTTTATCTATCCTCTCGCTGTTTCCATCATCTCGACTCAGCGCGTCGAAGGTACCCTTCGACAGATTCATATCCTACTCACCAAACGATACCGTCGTCAGCTTGACGACCACGACATCTTCGACCTCGAGAATCTCATACTCAAGCTCGAATCTCTCCGCAACGACATAGCGGAATTCAAACTTTCCTTCGTTCACCAACACGTGGTTCGCGACTTCTGCAACTACGTCCAGGAAAGGAAGCATCAGGGCGGAGAAGCTCGCTGGATAATCAGAGATATTATTCAGAAGTATCGTCTAGGAATACAGGTCACAGGGCGACCTTTGCTGTAGATATGAAAATTCACTTTGTATATGTCTTCATCTGGCGATTCGAACAATCTTGATAACTTCGAGCAGTTAAATCCAATCGGTCACACCTTCGATTATCTTTGGGATTCAATTTCATGTGCTCTTCGAGACAGAGCAGGCGAAGCATTTGCTACATACGAGGACACGTTTGACATCGATTACCACGATGTATATCACATCTACGCCCTCCAAATCTATCCAGAATTTGATTGGAGGAACGTCGCGGTTCATATCTGCTATATCCCTATTGGATCCGAAGAACCCGAAGACCGTCTCACCGAAGCTTACAATAGCTTCGTCGATTGGCTTGAAGAAGTTGAGCGTATTTGCGAAATTCATCATAATCATCAGTGGCCCACAGTCAGGGACAAAACCAGGTTTTTGTGGCAACCCTTCGTCAAGGTCATCCATCGAGACCTTTGTTTGCTGTGAAACCAATGCTCAGGACGAGTAATTGCCCGACAGGCTACAATCACCAATAGCCATATCGTCGAGTTCGAAGAACATCTTCGTGAGATAGAGGAAGAATTATAAAATGACGACTCCCACTCCAAATGATCCAAGCTTCTCTCGGGCTCCATCTCCGGAGCTTCCCGCATGTCTCAATATTGTTTTGCAACCCCCGAATCCTATCATTCGTCAAGCCCTTGCTGACACAGCACTCCCAAATGCGAACATACCTGAAAATGTGAAGAATTGGGTAGTCGATCTCGTCACGAACGTGGTGGAAGAAATGCGTCAACAAACGGTGGCACATTATGAAAATCTTATTCAGCGCCAAGCGCATACAATGGAACGTAACACCACGGAGTTTCACAATCGGACGGTCTTCTTAGACCAACATCGTCAACAATCTGAGTCTCGAATCGCAGACTTGGAGAAAACCTCATCAGCTTTACTCGAGGAAAACAAGACCACGAACGAAGCGTTTGTGGCAGTTGACGACGAAATCAAGGATCTCCAAACGAGAGGAGAAGACCTAAAGAAATCACATGATCGACTTCGCGCATGGGCATCCACGCAGGGACGGAAAGCAGGGCAAGGTGGTAACAATGTCGACGACACGGATGACGACGATGAGCCGTCGTTTGGTCGCAAGGGTAAAGGTGTAAAAATTGATCAACCAGAAAAATATGGTGGCAATAAGGATGGAGTCAATCTCGATGATTGGCTCGAACAAGTCATGCTCTGGTTGAAATATACTGGACATACAAAAGACGAGTCCAAAATTATGTCTACCCTCTTGCTCCTGAAAGGAGGAGCACGCGAATACATGCGACATTGGATTACCGAAATAAACGAAAATAATAAGGCACCAGGAACTTGGGCGGAGTTCATCGCTGAACTCCGCACGGTATATGAATCATTGGACAAGGATGACAAAAAGTGAACGGAGCTAGAAACCTTCATCAAGAAGGATCATCGAGACTTCCGAAAGTTCGCAGAAGACTTCCGTCCAAAGGCAACCGGTACAGGCTTCTCGGATCAAGATTTGATCGAAAAAATCAAGAAACATATTCCGGAGAAGATGTGGCTGCTCATGCTGGCAGACACGACTAAGGACAACTGGCCCAAGAAATGGACCGAATTCCTTACATTTGCACTCCGAATATTTACGTCACTACAACGAGAAGGCCACCATGCCAAGGCCGAAACCAAGGACCCGAATGCTATGGAGGTTGACGCAGTCGGGAAGAAGGGAAAGAGTAAATCGGGCAAAGCGCGAAGCGTGCAAGATGACAAGTTGGTTTGCGCCAACTGCAAGAAGAACAAGCCGACGTTCTTCAAATCGTCGAAACGCTTTGGCAAGTATTGCACTGATTGTTTCAAATTAGACCATGTCAAGAGGCAGATTGAGAAGGAGAAGGAGACAGCTGCGAAGAAGAAGGACAGGAGGAAGAAGGATGACGCCAGGAATAAATCCAAGTCGTCCAAGACGTGACAGGTAGTATCTGATTCTGCTTCATCAGATGCAGAGAGCGAAAGCTCTGATACCGAAGAAGAGAAGAAGCAAAAGAAGAAGAGCTCTTCCTCTAAGACTAAGGGGAAGGGTAAGGAGACAGCTGCGCATATCAGCGACCGCAGCATCCACTCGGAAAGCGAGCCTGATGCATCTGAGTCAGACGAAGATTTCGCCACGATCCTCTCAAGGCTCAGGCGCCTGAGAGCGAATGGATCCAGTTCATCAAGGAAGGCAGGAGAGGGCTCTTCGAAAAGGGATCGGAAGGGTTTTCTCAAA